GTTATACCAGAGCCATCTACTGGCTTGTACAGACAGACTCCATCAAAGCACAAATGTTGTGCAACGTTTATATCTGGCCACAATAACTGCATATCAGTGTATCGGTCCTGTTGCATTCGRTTACTTTTCCATCTAGCTCTATAGTTAACATCATCCCTTGGCATTCCTGCGTGTCTGCAAAGTGATGTCGCAAACTTCCTAATAGAGTGAGTCCCCAACCTACCTGGCCTCTCCTTATTAGTAAATGCACGGTTGTTCCAAATATGCCTTTTCAAAAAGGCAGAATACTGGGCTTTTCCACGTTCAATTTCCTTCTTCATTGACTTCATGTGTGACCGTGCACTTGTTGTCCCTTCAGTAAATAACCACTGGCTTACTGCTCCATTCCCATCCTGCAACCACTTCTCCAAAAATAATGCTAATTGAAGTACTGCACATGTTTTGGGATTCATAGAGCCCATCAAAATTTGATCAGGRCARTCTCKCTCTTCCCKCACATTCTTTGACCATTTCATCTTCAACGTCAAAAATTCAGGGAATCTAGAGCAAGCCTTCAAAGAATCCTTTGTTATATGAGCCATATCATCATTACGAGCTATAAAGTGTGTTTGCACCACCATCATTGCTATAAATCGTCTCCTATTTATCACAGAACCCTGATTTTCCAGAAGATCCAGGGCTTGCAAAAACTCRCTCCTCGTTAGAGGCCTATCCATCTGTGATGGCTTCCCAAGCCCCCTTGTTTCMTTCAGTTTAATTGCAGCAATTAAATTATTCACTTTAGTAGATTGTGTAGGATTGCCATGTCCAACACCTTGGAGAASTGTCCACTTAATACTCTTGTTTGGAAGAAAATACGAAATACCTTTCTTTGAATATTCTACAGAATTAGACCTAGCATGGACAGGGTTGTCATCAGGAGTTKGATCCTCCTTTYTATAAGCCTGTAGTGCAAGGAATCTATAAACATCATCAGGAGTGATGTTAGAAAGCTCATCATCACTAAACACRTARTCCCTTGGATATCTTGTATCTTCAGTGGGAGGATYATCACTTGTTCCATCTCTTTTCCCATGTAAAAAATCCATGAAGTTTAGGAATATCCTGTGGTAACTTGGCCATTGGTCTGGAATATTAACACCTGGTGGTGGCTTAGGAGCTTGCCCAGGACGCGGCCTTCTTGTTGTTGTTGCTGCTTGGCTTGCTGCTTGGCTATCGTTGTCACCATCGACACCTTCACCAAAAGGATCGTCATCCGCGCCACCAGCACGAGCTTCTTCTTCATTTAATACTCTAATGAGCTCTTCCAATGCTGCATCACCAGCAGTATTTTCCATGTCCTCGGCGTTGCCTTGTTGTTGTTGTTGCTGCTGTTGCTGTTGCTGTTGCTGTTGCTGTTGCTGTTGCTGTTGCTGTTGCTGTTGCTGTTGCTGTTGCTGTTGCTGTTGCTGTTGCTGTTGCTGTTCCCCACTACCACGTCCCCCACGTCCCCCACGTCCTCCTCCTCGTCCCCCGCGTCTGCCTCCACGACCACGTCCTCCTCCTCGTCCCCCGCGTCCGCCTCCACGAGCACGTTCTTCACCTCCTTCGCGTTGCTCCTCACCAGCTTCTTCCTGTTGCTCACGAGCAGCTTGTTGTTCTTCCAATGACTGCTGTTGCCCACCACGTCCACCACGTCCACCACGTCCACCACGTCCCCCACGTCCCCCACGTCCCCCTCCACGTCCTCCTCCTCCACGGCCACGACCACGACCGCATCCTCCTCCTCCGCGTCCGCCTCCTCCACCAGCGGCGCGTAGCTGTTGCAACAGCTCCTCAGCTTCCTCTTGCTCACGAGCAACTTCTTCCAATGCTTCACGGGCAACCCTGAACAAATTGGGGGGGGGGAGGGCTTGTTCTTGTTCTTGTTCTTGTCGTCTCCTCCTGCTGCGTCCGCCACCAGCTCTCCGTGCTCCTCCACGTAATCCTACGGGTTGTCCGCGTCCGCGACGCGCTTGTTCATCTTGTCCTGCTGGTGCTGGGGGTGTCATTTTGTTGCTGTTTACTAATGTTTGCTTGTTGCTTGTTTGCTTGTTGCCGCTAAAGGAAGAATAAGAATAAGCTCAAGTTTTCATGTGCAGCGACCACGTTGTATTATTGCACTGCGTCAGTGTTTTCAACGGTTGAGAATGCAACAAACAAGCTACTGAGTAAGAGTAGTACATAAAATCTCAATACCGTTTCCTCTATGTATTTTGCACACAAAAAAAGCAATACAGTTGAAAAATTAATAGTATTGTACAGCCGTACACCAGTATTTAGGGGGTAGGCCTATTCAGTAGTGTTTTTTGGTTGCATGGAGGCAATAATGATAATGCAATTTTAGTTGCATTTTGCGTATACAGTAGTAATGAGTTTACTGGAACTTTGCGCTAAAGAAAAAATAGCGCAATTCAATCAATCATCTGGCGTGTTACCGGTGGGCGAAGATTTTGATTGATCCGATTGTTGATTCGACGATGATTTAGAGATGGTTCGATTGATTCATTCATGAATCGATAAGAACAGAAAAAGATTCTGTTCTGACTAAAACTGTTCTGTGCTCATCAGAACAAAATCCAGCCACCCGATCATTAGCGAATGCTTTGACACAGATTTTGGAGCAACAACTATCGGCACGGTTGATGCGAAAGGTGGCCTCAAGCAAGCGGAAACTGAGCTGAAATGATCAATAGGTTTCGCTGTGCCACTCGAGTGCCAGGGCGTATTGCCGTAGGATGGTCGTTGCCAATGGTTGCAACGGCAGGCATTGGTCTCATAGCTTACGGAAATTCGTTTCAGCAAATATACACGCGATCAGAAGCCAGTTCGAGTAACGATAACAATGAGACGACGAGCAAGGAGACGCTGGAGAAACCAACCACCGGACGATTCGAATCGTCTTGGATAAAGGGATCAATCGAAGGCGTCATCAATCAGGCAGTTGGAACAGTGGCGTCATTGACCTCGAATACGAATGACGCTCGAAATTCAGCTGGCTCGAAACCGGAAGACACAGATACCTACCAAAACATGGGAAAGATGCTGACGAAGTTATTGTTACCTAGTAGTAGTACGACGTCGCTTAGTGATGTTTTGCAAGAAGTTCAGTCTATGAGCGGACGAGGCGACATCCAGGATGCTTCTACTGTGGTGGAAGTTCTTGATGTCGCCAAACGATGCCAAAAAATGTTGGATTCGAAACTCGGCGAATTTTTCGGCACAGATGGGTTTCCCCCACTCCAGCTACAACAATTGTTTTACTTCATCGAGAGAGAAGACGAGGTGAAAAATCCTTCCTGGAAACGGCGCAGACATTATTTCTTTCCCGGTATTGATATGAAGCAAATGGAAGACTTAAATGAAAAATTGAAATTGACAGATTTGGCATACGCGGATACGGAGGATGAAGTTCGGGACCGCCTACAAAAAGAATATAATTCTGAACTTGTCTACTGTTCCCTGGACGGCTTGCCCAATAAACCAGCACACTTCATCGCGGTAGAAAGAGATCAGTCACCATGGAACACAGAACTCGAAGTGCTCTTGGTTGTGTGTGGAACAAAGCGCATCACTGACGTCATCACCGACTTGCTCTGTGTTGCGGAACCGTACCGGGATGGCTATGCTCATTCTGGAATTTGCGAGAGCGGTCGGTGGATAGCCAGAAAACACGTCAAACTTTTCGAAAAAATACGACTGCTCAGCAACAAGAAAAAGATAAAGCTTACGCTCCTTGGTCATAGTTTAGGGGCGGGCGCAGCAACAAGTATGTTATCGATTCACCGCGGATGCATGTTTTTTTTTTGGATTTCTCACCTTTCGTTTTGATTTTCAATTTTTTGCAGTTGCTGGAATCGAACTGAATGGCGACCCATTTATTGATGTTGAGGTCGTTGGATTCGGCTGTCCAGCGTTGTTGTCACCAGAATTGTCCACTTCGTATGAGCACATTGTAACAACTGTTATTGGAGACAACGACTGCGTGCCTCGCATGAGCATGGCAACCATGGTAAATACGCTCTTAGACATGGCAGAATTTGATTATACCCCGTTTGCACTCCGTGACATTGAGGAAACCGTCAACGAATTAGAACGTTTCCTGCCGTCAATTGTGGACGGCTCGGTGAAACGCAAGGTTTTAAACAATCTCAACGGGTTCTTGCCCGATGTCTCGCCAAACGGTGGCGACGAAATTAGTAAACGAATGGAGGTAGTTTTGTTTCCCCCGGGGCGTTGTATTCATTTTTACAGCGACGGCTTTGGGACTTCTGGGTCGGTGGTCCCGTGCACATTTTTCGATGAACTCGATATCAACCGCAGACTTTTACACGACCATCTCATTAAAGATGGTTATCAAAAGATTTTTCTGGATGTAATGAGACAGTACAAGAACGACAACCACTACAGCTTTAATGAGGAGAAGAAATAACGAAAAAAATGCTGGAAAATTCCACGTTAGAACTAGAAAAAGCTAGTGAATCACAAATTATTCTTTTATTGGTACAATGTAGATCGACCAAATGGTACGAAGTATTTCCGAGTCGATCCTCTTTGTTTCTCTAGTTTGCTAAGGTTTTCTTGAACACCAAGCTCACACGGGGTGCAGTTTCTCCCTTGAATTCGGCTGTCTTGACAGTATGCTGGAAACGTTCTTGGCAATCACGAACCATCTCTGTCACATCTCCGTCCATCAATACAAATGTGTGTGGTTTGGGGCTTTTCGTTCCTTTCTCAGAAATATTATTCTTAGATGGGGGACCATCGGCATTGTTGTTGCCAGCTAAAGACCGAAAACCGAACCGTCGAGTAGCTCCAATGCTGACAACAACAGTTTCGAACCCCCAGTAGACTCCCTGGTCCGGATCGATATGATACCTCATACCCGACCCACCATCGGGGTATAAATTGAGCAAGCAACCGTCGTAGTAGTGAGATGTTTCTTGGCACAAACGGTCTCTCACACTGGCTACTACTGGTGACCAAGGCACTCGTTCCATAGACTTTCCTGAATATTCGAAGGGGGCAACGTGTTCGTCTCCTTGCCAGGCTGTTTGTCGCCTCTCAACAACAGCACGTTTCGACGTGGTTTGGATTGTTTCTGCCTTGAAGTCCACTTGCTCTACGAAGGACGACAGCGTGAAATCACTCTCGTCGTTTCGGGATGAAGAAGAAATGTTCGTCAAAAATCCAGGGCGTATTAGAAAGGGCAAATCTAGATCGTCGTAAGCCTTTTGTAAGCACACTGGCAGTGACTCGATTGAAATGTCTTCGTAATTCGTCGAAAGCCGAAAGCAATCGATCGACCACTTCAAGGCAGACAATTGGTGAGGTTGGATGATAGTTGCAAGATGGAGGTCATCTTGTACGATTTTCTTCAAGAGCGGATTCCACCACAGCGTGTGGTTGATCCCGTCAGCGTTGGAGTCCTCGCATTTTGGTAAGAGTCGAGATATCACGGACGCAGCCTTGATTCCTTCCACAGCCGCTTCCAATGAATTCTCAGATTCTTCCCAGTCTGACGAAACCAAACACTTCACGGCGTTGGTTAATCCTTTATGCCATAACTTCTGGTCTCTTTTGTATATTGTAAAAACTCCTCCTGCGGATTTAGTGTCATCTTCATAGCTGTTGTTGCGTTTGTTTTCCAAAGACACCAGTTGTTTAGATAGTCGTACAAGAGTCACGCTGGACAGCGTTCCGGAGGAATCGTTCTTCGGCGTCAACGACACCGCAACGTCCTTCAGAATACTAGCGGGTGTAAAGCAACCCTGGAGCCTGACCTGCAGTGACGGCGCAGGCTTCGATGGCCGACGGCGTGGGCGTTTTGCTTTTGTTTCCGAAAATGCCACGGCCTTGTTTACCAACAACATGGCTACATACAGCCATGAGAAGCGGCGAAAGAATACTATTTTAGAACCATTTCTCCTTGTTTCCATTCTTCCTTCTCTTGGTTCTGCGACAAATATGGATAGCAAACACAGAGCTTTTATCAACCTAGAGCTGTTGCGTCTTCTGTCCTCGATGTTTCTCAATTATTTCTCTTTACTTCCATTAAAAAAACATTGTGCGGAACGTACGAGTAATCGTAACGTACCTACCGTTCCATACGATGATGTACATACAGTACTGTACTAGCGCACAAAACCAAATAAAACGATTGATGGCTACTGTTGAAAGAGTGACTGAAAACTCAGGCTACAGTCACAGTTTGAAAAAACGACTGTGGAGGAAGAATGCAAGTCAAGTTCGAATTTGAGAATGTTCTCAAAATGTCGCGTCAGCGTTCGTCTTGATCACCACGCCGGAAAATCCCGAAATAGAATGGGTAGATCACAGGTACTTACTAGAGCTACTAAGTACAATTCCCATAATGGCAAGCTATTGGCAATTTCCCGACTATCAATTTTTTTTATTTTCCCGTCTTTTTTTTCCCCTCTCCCCCTCCTCCACGAAAAAAAGTACAAGTCCGAAAATATTTCTATACTTGATACTTACTACTGAGAATATCAAATCAGTGCTTATCTCAAGTGTTAAGGACCACCAATAGAAATATTTTGGGACCAGCGAGAAATTAAACAATGGAAATATTTTTATTTTCGTCCTTTGGATGCCATTTTTAACTGGATTTAACTGTAAAAATGAGCTAAAAATTTCTATTAGTATTTGTACGGGGATTGCCAATAGCTTGCCATTATGGGAATTGTACTTAGTAGCTCTAGTACTTACAGTACAAGGAGCTAAGAATGAGAATTGACGGAACATTCTCGCGTCATGTCAAAAAAAAATTGACACCACTATTGACAACCCGAGCGCCATAAGGCTATGATTTATCGCTACCGGTATCGTCACCCTCCAAGGACGCTACAACAACGACACGATTTCCATAGTACCGTACGAAAGAATCAGAAGACCCGTACAAACGAAGTAAAAACAGCCCATTTGTTGTTGTATTTCACAAATTCTTACCGGTACATCGAACAACCCGAGAATATTTTGACGGTGTTACTGCCCCTTGATCTACTACTATATGTGCAGTTCACTCTTTTGTTCTCCTCTCCGATGACGGAATTGAATGAGTTCAACACTCTTGTTCAGACACTGGCTAAGAATAACCGGCGGCGAAGGCTACAATGTTTGTAACTAACCTTCTTGCTGACTGGTGGGGCAGACAAGAAAGCAATCGAAACGTCGAACAAGACGGTAGCACGTACAAAGATTTCCTCGATCACCAAAAAACTATATGGATTCCCTCCGAGTTGTACGAGAAATGCTGCCCCCGTTTCTTGGTGGGCGGTGTATCGCAACGAAACAAGAAAGGGCAGTTTGTTTGCGTCGGGAAATGTTGCAAGATCCATCCCACCATCATGCTATATTTCGATGCAGCGAAATCATGCACGATAGCTACGCTGTCTTATCGCCTCGATCCATTTGTTCGGTACCTCGATCGGCGCGTGCAGGACGGCAGTGCTGTCGTAAAGTCGCCTTATTACTACGAACTGGATGGGTATGTGAGAGACAACCTACATCGCCTGAGATATCAGCAGCGATTGTTTGGAGGTCATTTCGTCAAGGTAGCCATAGGAGCACTGAAAGAATCCGATGCAGCCCAATCAAAATTATTGGAAGAGGCCCATCTGAGACAGCTCATGCGTAGACACCGCCCTTGCAATCTTTCAAGCAATAGTTTCTCCGACAAAGAATCCGCCTCGGCTTGTGTGGCACTCGGAATCGAACCCCGCTCGCATCAAGGTGTGGAAAGACTGGAAATGGCTCTTGAGATTTGTCGGTTGTGGGGCCTCGGCGATCATTTGGACGTTCTGTCAATAGATTGCATGCTCAAAACCAGTCACTTTTTTAGGCAATTGGCCGTTCCGATGGCCGAGGAGCGCGTAAACGATTGTGAGTTCGTCGTCACTCCACTGGTGGATGGTCACTACACATCTGGGTATTCTGTCTTTCGAAGAGGCAACGACGACCAACCGAGAATTTTCGAGCGAGAACACGGTCGTCTTGTAGAATACGCCGTTTGCCCATCGGTTTTGTACTGTCAAAAACGATACGGTAGCCAAGCAATACCGTCTGGCAAGTGCATGCGGGAAATAAACAAGGGTGGACGCTACTTCCCCAGCCTACATTCGAGTGTCGACTTTCGTCGCAGCAGCAACCGGAACGAAAAAGTCAAACCTGAGCTTCCTACAGGATTTTCGTGGGCGTGCGAGGAACTTTCCTTCGCCAACCTGGAACTAGAATGCATGGATATTGGTTTGCGCGAGTACATAGGCCAAAAGATCAACATCCAGTGGAGACGCACCGAGGTCGACGACCCTGGATTCCAACGCGACTATAGCAGTTTTCGTGACGAGAAGTCGACGGGTTCGAGCGACACGCCGGAACAGGTCTTTTGTGTGAAATTGGGCTGGGCACCCACGAAAAATGGGATCGTGGATATATCGGTCCCCCATTTTGGTGTGAAACTGCACATTCCGAGGAATTCGATGTCGCAAGTCGATGATGTTACGTTTACCTACAAGGGAACTGCGCAAGTGTTAGAGTGCAAGTCGGACTTCACCTTTCTCGTTGCGGCCTATGCCCGATCCTTGCAACCGTATTTAATAGCTCGACATCAGCAAATCGAAACCCACAGACCGTTGCTACGGCACGAGCAAGAATACTTCGAGGAAGTTCAAAAAGCGGCCTCGTTGTGTCACTTGTCACGTACTTTGTAACTGGCATTTGTCGATCTGCCGGGATGTATAATTATCGTTGGATGTATTAAATAATGTATTCCGTTACTACTACTACTACACCAACTATTGCAGAAGATAATAAACGATGAGCCGCTCGCTGTTGTTTTGTTGCTGAGCCACTTTACCGATGGAATCGATTCCTCGATTTTGTAATATCCGTCATTTCTTTCTACTGTTCTATGTTCCTCGTTACATGATGGAGCAACCCGCCTCGTTCTTCGCCAGTTCTACCATAGCATTCCGTCCTGGAAAATCTAGTTTAGCAATCCCTTGCCGTGCTATTTGGACTCGCGTTCGGGCCAACTCCAAGCACAATTCGTCCCCCCAGCATTCTGGGATGTCGTTCGCGGGGATCAAGGGGAGTTGATCGGATAGAAGTCTCCAATGCGTTGACCTCTCGCATTTATTGCATGGAAAACTATCTCTTCCAAAGGTTTTTGGGCAGCGTTGGGATCTATACAAGGTAGACTGGACAGGTTGGGGCTGATGGCAGTCTTCGCATTCGTAGATCAAAGGGGAGGTTTCTTGCGCGAGAAAGCAAGCATCACAAGTAGCTGGCTCGTCGACGACGAGAGGCCACTTTACTTGTTGACAAGTCTCACACTTTCCAGAAGATCCCAGCTTGCGTACCACCGTGGAGGCGGATGTAGAATGAAGGGTCAGTAGTGATACCCATTCCCGGCACCGAGGACACCGTCCCACACGGGATGTCCCGTCCTTGGTAGCCACCGTTAAGACGGGCATGCAAGCCGTGCATACCTTAAAGTTGTCGTGTTTGCCACCTTGCGGTTCATCGTTAGGGAAATCGCCGATCGGTTGGCAGCAAGGCATTCGACAAAAGATGGGCTTCCTTGTATGCAAATCGTTGCTGCTCCTGGAAGGAACATCGGGAGAACAAGAATCGTTGCAAATAGCACACTCATATATGGCACCCTCGTCTATCGTGAGATAATCTTCCTTTTCTTCTTGATAGGCATCGTCCTCGGCGGCTATATCTACCAAACTGCGGGCACTTTTTCGCTGCCTGGAAGCAACTAGAGCGTTTCCTGGCAACGAAGTGGGCAGTGTCGTATCCATGGGCAGTACCACCCCATCGCAAAAATCGACAGAAAGAGGACGTTTCATTGTAATATTGCACGAGGAACCATGGCTCTGAGCCGTTCGTAGTGGATCTCCAGCGCCACAAACCTGTTCGAGAATGTCGTTCAGTTGCGTCGAAGCGATCTTTGCCGACAGGGTGTTTTCAATCGTGGATCGGATTCCATCCGCATCGGAACCCCCAGCGAGAACGCCTTTCGATAGCGTCGTCATCTGAAGACGAATCAGTGCCGCTTCCGCTTCGCTCAGGCCATGTTCCATGGCAATCTTCCGTTGGCGAGCGGCCTGTTGTAGCAAGCCTTCCTCAAATAAGTGCTGCTGGTCGACGTTTTCGATGCAACCAACGTATTCTTCCATAGATTCCAGAACAATATCCGAGGTGCACGGTCCGGTCGTGACCGTGAGGCTGTTCTTGCTCATCGTAGCATTTAGGTTGGATCCGGCAAGCGTTGGCAGCTCGTTGTGGCCTGGCATTTTCTTCTATTCTCCGATTCGTAGGAAACGGTCGTTCTCAGCTGTGGTTCGAGTTCTGGGCTCACTTTAAGAAATCGTTTGCGACAAAATCCGCTACTATTCAGTTTGATTCCGGGCGTCTTATTTCTTCTGTTGCTGGGAAGTGTACGGTGTGACAACTCTTCCTTCTTACTCCTATCGATACAGCTGTTTCGGTTCCGAAGAGTACCTCCTCACTGCAAGGAATAGGCTGTTTTAATGTCTTGACACAAACTGAATGTGCATCTTAATTTTTGGTATGTTCCAGAGGATCAAAATCATAGCCGATCACATACAACCGACAACTTTTCCATTTTCCGAAACTTTAGAGAGTCTATTCATTGTTCGTACTCGTACTCGTACCTGTATTACGGGTTTTTGAAGTTTTTGTAGCAAGCCGGTGCGCCAACGGTTCAGGGACTTTTCGCTCCAGGAATCATTCGATCGGCTTCCAGTTTGGTTGCGGGTCACGAGTGCTTCATTTTTTGGATCCTGGGATCGATCTTGGTCTAAAAAATGAGGTTTGACATGTGCAGCCTCTTCCAACGGATTCGTGCCGTGGGAATTGAACGAGCAGTTTTACATGCCCGTGGCGCCAAATAAACGGAAAATGACCTAAATGTTGGACTCATTCGACTCAATCCATCGACGTCGTCACTCCAACATTTCAAATTTCGGTTTGTTAAGGTTTTAGTCATTTCTGACAACTAGAAACGCGTGAATTCAGTGTCACGGTGCAAGTAGCGTTTCACAGCCCGAGCCACCGGCACCACACAGACAGCAAAGATAGCTGCTCACGTGCCGCGCCGGCTAGTAATCGTAAAGTAGGGTACCGTACGTACAGTACAATATCATCTCCTCCATTCGGTACGTCCGGTGAGGTAGCTACGTACGTACGGTACGAGAATCGTGGGAATGCAGCAGCTCGGTGCAGCACCATTCTTCACTCAGTACATACCGATAATAAGTAGAAGTACTTAAGTAAGTATTATTTTCATACGAACCGTACGGTACGCTGGTACAATTGATCGTCACGTCGGTCTTCAAGGGGAAAATTAAATTAGTTCGGTGGATACCACACCTAACCGTGACTAATAGCATTGTACAAACCGACATTGAGACGAACAACCGAAGACAGCAATTCTGAACACGAGAGCTCAAATCATCGTACAACAATCGAACCGAAAATGGTATTGGTTAGTCCATCCACCGATGGCGACCAAGTCGTCAACACCGATGGGACGAAGAAGAAGAAATTGACGAACCACCTGGAGAAGAGCGACGGCCGTCGACTCGTGGAATACCTCGTGGTCATCTCGTCGTTACCGAGGGAAATTGTGGCCAGCGACGAAAAGAAGAAAGACGTGCCCCCCGACAACGACGAGCAATACCGTTTGTCCACGGAATTCGACGACGAAAGCATCGAACTCGTCGACCACGAGGGTTTCAAACCAATCGTCACTGCTCGCTATCCACAATACGACCACGAAGACAATCCATTCGATGCAAACGTCTGCTATTTTTGCCACACATCGGGTGCGATCCAACTCAAGAAAAATCCTTACATGCCAAAGGTATGTTGCATAATGTTACGGCAGGGCCTGTTTGTGCGACAGAGTTGATTCGATCTTATTTGATGCATGCGACAAATGCATTGTGATCCTTCCCACAAACCGAGGTGGTCCTCATCGTTTGTATCTCATTCATACTTGTCTTTTGTTTCTATCGCCAAACGCCGGGATCGGACATATTGACATTGTTCCTCGTTTGCTTTTGTTCGAATTGTGTGGCAATGCCAACAATTTTCCTGGAATCAAACACTATTCATGGGGAATCGTTTGCGCACGCAGTTTCATTACTTTGTGGCAACGGGTGGTACGGGAAAGAAAATGTACGGTACCTGTCTGACGTTGTGGGAACCTGCTCAGATTAAGGGCAGGAAAAAGAAGGGCAAAAACTCGAACCAGGAAGAACCCACTGAGACTCTCGATGTATTTTTGCCAAAATGCGTGGTCTTGTTGTCGACGTATCCGTATCTCATGGCGTTTCGAGAGTATCTCACACAGCTGAATCGGATGTCCAAAACCGAAGAAATGACCCTCCCCATCGAACGGTATATTACCAATGTTTGTCTAGAAATTCCAGCACCTCCGCCTGGTTCGTTTGAGGTGCAAACGACTATTCTCGATTCGATTATCAAAATTTGGTCCCCGCCACACAATCAACCCATTGCCTGGGTCAGCCTCCCATTTTCTCATTTGTTTCAGTGTTTGGATATTGATAACATCATTCTTGTTTGGCACTGCCTCGTTTTGGAACGGCAAGTTTTGTTGACATCGACACAACTCTCGGTGCTGACCACTTGCTCAGAGATTCTCCTTTCCCTTCTTTTCCCGATGAGATGGTCACATGCCTACATTCCGCTTTTGCCCAAGTTCCTTATCCCAATTCTTTCTGCACCGATGCCTTTCTTTTGCGGCATCGACAAGGCTAGCCTTGCCGAGGCACTCTATGATTTGAGTCCCGAATGCGTTGTGGTGGATTTGGACAAAAATCTGGTGACCCTGGGACCCGAGACGGAGGCTTTGCCGCCTCTACCTCCCCAGCAAGCCTCGTCTCTTAGGTCGCAACTCGATATCAACGCCGGTATGGTCTTTCGCGAAGCTCGATCTTTGACTCGAAACGATGATTATTCCGATAGTGGATCGCGTTTGCCAGCGCACGTCAAACAGATGGCAGAGGGCATGTGGGAAGGAAAGCTAGCTCTGTTTGACGAAGCTTTTCATTTGATGTTTACCCCAGAAGAATCGAGGAAGAATTTGTTGAACGGAAACGATACTTCGGGGATGGAATGGAACGACCGTGATGCAAACGATCAAGCTCGCATTATGGCGGCGTCGGGTGGGGACAAAACCTTTGCTCTTCGTAAGCAATCCGAATGGGACGCCGTTCAAGAAGCCTTTTTGGATACCTTTGTTTATTTGCTGCGAAATTATCGCAAATTTCTGGTGTTCCCCTCCAAACACAACGAGGGCAACTACGGTGGCGCCGGATTTCGTTCCAAAGAGTTTGTCGAAAACCAGCGGCTGGACATGCGCGAGTTCCTAGAACAATTCATAGGTACACAAATGTACGATAACTTTGTCACTAAACGACTGTACGGAAGTGGCGAATCAGACGTTGCCTTTTTTGATCTGGCGGTGGACCGCTTTTTGAAGAGTGCTGGTATTTTATCGAACGTGGATGTTGGTGGTCGCTTGCTTCAAGCTGCTGGGATGTCGAGATCTTCGAGTAACACAAACATGAGTGGCGAACCACGAACAAATACTCCCAGTCGTAGCTACCAGAAAGCTACAGAACCTCTTCTTCAGAGTGCCCGTGTGCATCGCAAGCTTAAGACGATTGTCCCACCCGAACCCTGCCAAGAAGACCTACCAGAAATTCCGCAAAACGGAGAGGTTGGCGCGTCTGCATCGGAGCAGTCGGACGAGAAAAGTGTTGGTTCGGGCAGCACTTCGTCCCGGACGAGTTCCGCATACCAGAGTGTCCAGGACAAGGCAGCTGAAATTTTGAACAAATCAAAACGGCGGTACACGTACGACACCTTCCCATCCGAATTTCGCGAAGATTTTTTTTCGACTCCACGCCCCTTATCCGCCGCTGTGCTCGCCGAATTCGATCGACAGAAGAAGGATGCTGCACAATTCCGTCGCAAAAAACCTGTCTTGACATCAAAAAATACACGAGGAGGCCTTCACCGAGATAACTCGGACCCGGTATGTATCCTGATTTCTAGTATATTTATTTGCTCTCTTTTTCCACTCATATTTTTTCGTATCTTTTGTTCTGGCTACTCTAGGAAAAACCACCTTCTCCAGAAGTTGCAACTTTTACTGTCTTTTTCATGGCTTTTTCAGCTGTAGTTGGTAAGGAACTAATGGGAATGAATAGCGAGTCGGATGAAGAAGAGGAAGCCAAGACAATTTTGGCCACCTATTCGCATAGTTCAGCAGGGGAATCAGACAACGAAACCGAGACAACGATAAGTTCGGCGGCCGAGTCAGATGGCGACAAACAGACAAAAGGAGAACCCAAAAGTCGATTTACAGATTCATTGAATGCACTTGAGATTGAAGAAGCAAAAGCCACAGGAAGAGCTCAGCTCGCACTTGCTTTCGAAATGCTCACTATGATGAAAAAGCGGGCTCTGAAGGCCGACCCTGAAGCATACCAGTCTCTTATCGATGCTTGTGGCAGAGTAGGTGACACAAAGAGAGCGTCGGACCTATTAGCAAGAATGCACGAGGATGGGATCGTGGCAGACGGTACGGTCTATGCTTGTTTGGTGGCAGCATTTTCGGCGGATACTGCATGGAGAAACGGAACCAAGGACGAGGATCTTCCAGGTAAGTTCAGGAAAATGAAGAACGAAGACGATGAATTTCTACGATCCAATCGAATATTCAACCACTTACTTCTCCTCGACACTCTTGAACTTTACAGAATGGGCAAACAGCACAGCTGTGGAAATGGACTGGAACAGACTTCAGAAACGATCGTTTATGGATCGTTTGAGAGGCCGTGGTACTGATGACGAAGGTGACGAGACAAATGAGCCTGAGACCAACGGCCCTCCAATGAGTAGATTCCGTCAATTTATATCGAATCGTCAAGGAAACAAGAGAACGACGCCCAAGGTCGAAGAAAGTCGTGTCGAATTCTATGTGACTGAGACTGTTGAGAGACAGATTGAATTGGGAGAAAATCTTCTAGAGGTTGTTTTCCCCGATATTTCTGTCGATACTGACAATGAGACTTGCCCACGTTGTAATTTCCTACTCTCTGACGACGACGTCGTGGATGGCTGGACACCTGGTGATAGCAACGACTACACAACAAAATGTCCGAATTGTACTCAACGTTTTGTTCCCCATTTTTGCGTTCAGAGCTCGTCCTCAAGCTTTGTTGGGTCGAAAGGCCCATCTTCTCCTCTAATGTGCGAACGTTTGTCTCCATGGGTACTTCAGAAAGAGATCCGGTCAGTCATGAGTGACAGAGAAGGAATTGAAAATCTCTTGAGTCCAACATGGAGAGGAGAGGAATACAAGAATTCTGTGCTATGGTGGAATTTGGTTCTCTCTTGTATGAGGTATAGGTTCCCGTTCTCTTTCCTCTTGCAAGGTAATTTTGAACAAAATTTGATTGCGCCAATGCCCGAAGACGAGAATTAGGGAATCTGCCACATAATTGTAATCAGTTGAAACAAACATAGGCTGAATATTTACTTCACAGAACGTTATGCACACAAAATAGATCTCCAGGAAGATTATCTAACACGCTACTAAGAACTGTTCTGACCCTCTCCATCACATGAATGCGGCGCTTTTGATGCTAAATAGGGGAGATCGCTACCTTAGATCCATTGGAAGTAGATTCTCGCCAACGATGGTCTCTCTTCTCTCATTTAAGCTGTTGTGTTATACTTTACCGGTGCAACTTCTTGGTCTTTGTTCTGGCTTACCTATCTCGGAGGAATTGAAATTCTGAAAGCAACGAAGCAATTGAATTTTCCTTCTCGCGGTGCTAGAACAGATCTGTAGGACGACGACGGTTCAACTTTAGTAGTTGGGAGTGAGATCCAGAGATAATATATGGCAGATGCTCGTATTCATGACCCTAATATTTATCCTATGTCAACGGTGATATTGCCCGTTACGGCAATCGTGCCATACATCTGCTGTCGTTTGGCTATAAATCTACTGAATGCTAGTTACCCATTTCACAGGAGATGCCATGTCCTCGCTTCTCTTCCTCTTTTTCTTTTTCCGTATTTGTGAAGCAAGAGGACCTTTCGCTTTTTGCTGATTGACAGGTTTATAAGGGAGTGGTATTGCCATTCCGGGTGGGATCGATTCCAGCTTGTAATCACCGTAGGCAATTCGAATCAATCTGGTGACAGAAACTATCGGAAAGGATGAAAGGTACGAGATGAATGAGACGCTTTTCAACGAATTTATTTCAAGGAATGATACTCCATCTTTGCGTAACGTCACGAACTTTGAGTGAAATCTATGACATGACGAAAACATTTGATTTGGATTGGTACGTACCGCCCAATGCCGCAAATACATTTCGAATTTGCCGGTTCTTCCCTTCCGTACAGGTAACTGGTGCGTACGTATGCATTACAAGCGACAAACAGAAAAGAAAATTTGTGAAAGATTAGGGTTTTTCCTTCCACCATATTGACTCAAGAGGGACGGAACCCGACGTTTGACCATACGACGTACCTCGTAGCCAATTGTTGGACGACATTGACCTTGCTCTTTTGGGTTTCTCTAGGGATACTTGCATGGAAGGATATCTGACATTTTCATACGTGACACCTCCTCTTCTTACTTGGTCCAGCTTGTGGGTAGTCAATCTGCCGTGAACGCGAACCCTGTACACCCGATGGATTTTCGACGACGGCAATTCCATCTCTCTCGCAAATCCGCCATCATTCGTGACTAATATCAATCCTTCTGTGGGCATATCCAACCGACCAATCGGTTTTAAATGCATTTGACGCTGTTGGCGTTTCCGCTTTCCGCCTTGCCGTGACCTTCCGACTCCACTCTGTTTCAATCGTTCGATCAGAGACGGCCGTCCGTGCGGATCGTTTTCGGTGACAACTTCCCCTTTGAGTTTGTGGACTGCCCATACCTTTGGGACAAGAGACGACGGACGCTGATTGTCGGCACTCGATGACGTCGACGGTGTCGCAAGAGACGGATCAAAGAGAACTGGTTTCCCCGATAGTTTTACCATGGGTGTATTCTCCGCAGAACTAGCTAGTATCTCGTCGAAATCGACTAGTAGCTGGGGAGTATGGATTACGTTTCCAGACAGAGTAACTTCTCCACTACGTATCAGGCGTTCTGCTTGCCTTCGACTCAAGGCCAAGTTTGTCGAATCGTGACTGAGAAGTTTAGACAGGCGTATTCCATTTTTGATAGGTGATGCAGCAGGCGACGACGAGTCGGTCCTCCTACCTTCCTTAGCGAGATGATCTGACGTTGCTCTCGAGCTCGTGCTGCCGGGCAAAGAAGAAGCGTAGAAGCGGGGGAGAATCAGTTGCTTCGCACAAAGTGCAGATCGAGATGGCCTGATAACAGTCTTGAAGAGGACCGAGAACATTGGTGGAGACTAACTGTATCACTTTTGTGTTCTTTGGGTGGTGTATGAAGATGAAAGCTACATCATCTACCTGCTCATCATTTTACTCTCTGACGAAAATACGGTACATCGGTTTCGAATTAGAATGATGAGACTGCCCATGATTTCGCATAGAAAGTATTGAGTCTACTCTACGGCACGTAACGTAAGTACCGTACTGTTTACCGGTAGATTTCATAAGTGGCGTGCAGTCTGTCCTTCCTCTTCTCTTCAAGCTTTTGGAGTGTCGCGGCAAAAATAAAGGGTAACCAATAAACTCGAAACCGGTCCCCTTCAACTAAAAACAGGCACATCTATCGTCTCGTTCTCAAATCTACCGTGCGGTAAAACGAAAGCACGGTACGTCCTAACGTATCTTGGATCCCCGCATTATCGACATTCCTCGCTCATGGAAGTCTTGAAAGCTAAACAACAGCCAGAATCAGAACGAATATAACTACACACACAAACACTATGTCTGCGTGGGGAAAGAATGGTTCGGCAAGAAGCTGCGATGATCTCCTCAAACGGGTCGAGGAAAACGATCCCCGACTTACCGAAATTACTGTTTTGCCGCTGAAGAAATTCGGATCTCGGGAGATTTTTCGGTTGGTCAAGTGCCTTGATTCCGAGAAAAACACGCACCTTCGATCATTACAAGCTTCTGGACATGGTATCGATGACCACACCGCTCTGGAAGCGCTAGGGAGGGCACTGGGCATGCCGCTAGAATCTATTGCCGTCGGCGACTCGAACATGGGCGATGGTGGTGTGTGCGCTCTGTGCCGCGGAATCGAATGCAACAAAAAGATTGAAGACGGTCAAAATACTGGAGGCTTGAAGGCTATAGATTTGAGTTTCAAGAACGTGTGAGTGCGGTGTGATAATTTGGGGGCTGTTTCTGCCCCTTGATGGAATGACGATGGAGGAGAACAAAATGAATATTTTCCAGAACTTATGATGGTCTATCTTTCTAAATCTCACTTGTATTTTCTGTGTCGGTTCCTTGTGATGATAGAGGAAAAGAAGGATTGAGAGCAATTATTCGGGTCCTAGGGGCATTGCAGTCGCTAGATTCCATCGATTTGTCCCGGAACGAAAATATTGGTCCTTCGTTTGATTTTTTGGAATTTGTATCGACAAAGCAGCCCATCTTTCCAGGTTTGGTAGATCTGGATTTATCTGGTTGCAGGTTGGATACAAGCAGCTGTACAACACTCCTTCAGGCCATGCAGCCTATCGAGGACGAGGATGGCCAAGAAAAGCAAACGTCGGAGAGAACGAGTCGAAATCTTGTCTTGAAACTCAACTCCAATAATTTTAGTGATCCACTTCAAGTCAAAGACATGATGAACGTTTTGTCTCAAGGTAGCTTGGTGTCTCAGCTGTATATCTCCGCATGTCAAATTGGGGACGACGGAATGGAACATATGATAAACGAGTGCTGCAAATCTGGAGTCAACAACGATGCAACAAATTTTCAATCGCTCCACACATTGGACGTTTCAAACAACGATTTATCGTCCATAGCTTCTTTAGCCAATCGACTTCACCAGTCGGCCAATGGCAACAGCCACTATTTTTCCAATCTCAAGTCATTAAATTTATCGAACAACCCACTTGGTGCGAACCTTTTGAGCTCTATAGGCAGTAATGTGCAATGGATCTCGTCGTTGGAAGAACTGGACTTATCAAACACCACGTGCGAAATTCCTGGGGCGGTGGAATTAATTTGCCGCAGCAACAGCCAGAGTGCATCCTTGAAAAAATTGAATTTGTTTGGAAATAAACTGGGCAGCGATGGATTTTTGGAATTAGCAAAGGTTCTCCGGGGAGGGCATGCGTCGTTGGAGTATTTAGATCTTGGTGGAAACGGGGCGACGGAGAGTGGAGTGGTAGAACTAGTAAAGGCTGTCACAAGTCTCTCTCTAACCGAAAGCGAAGAGAAAGAAGAATTACCATCTGGAGAGAGCACATTGCGCGTGTTGGTGGTCGGTGGAAATTCTGGTGGGCAGGCTCTGGAAAAAGTGATTAACGAGGCGGGAACAACACATCCAGATCTCGACATTGCACGGGACAAGGCAAAGAAGAAACAAGGAGTGCCAAACGGTGGCAATATGATGAACAATACACCTGGTACCTCATGGACATCATGACCACTATATTGTAGCTAGACAAAATAAAATAAATTACAGGAAAAAGAAGATTTAATCAACTGTTTTCATAGATCGATTTGTCGTGATGTATCTTTACACGCTCCCATCGATTACGACAGCGACCTCGTTTCTGCGCAGAATATTTGGGGTAATAAAAGGATCGTGATAACCGTAAACCAAAGTTGTGTCATCACCGTTCTGTACCTCGATGTCAGCTTTTTTCAGAGCCGACTGCAATCGTTCTCGTTGTTTCTGCACTCGTTCGTCACTAGGGGGCTTCCCAGAAAACTTCTTTACAGCTAGCGTGTGAGCAGGAACTTGCCGCAGCGTAACCTTCTTCTCCATCGGTTTTGGAACGGTTTTCAATGTGTAGTCACTTCCAATGACGAACGAGACTCTAACAAAGTCGACGACGGAGCACATGATCAAAAACACTTTTAGTTAAACGAACGCAAGATTGGCGCATTCGGCGCTACTCAAAAAGACAATTAGACGTACCTTGTCTTCTTCTTCTGGCCACCGTCCAATCGGACTGGCGCTGTCATTGCCATCTTCTCGTTTTTTCCACTACTCAGAAACCCCCCACGGGCCTTGTTCTTTCCGAAAATATATCCTGCCAGTGTTCGAAACGTTTGCTTGCCAGCCTTTTGGAACCCTGCAGCATCCTCAGCCGTGGTCTCGGCAATGAGATACGGTTCGTACCGCCTGATCTCTACTCCGTCCGTGAGGCGCTGAACGACAGAATAATTCGGCCGTTCCAGTTTTTCTGCCTCTAGAAATGCGTAGATGCCACCGGCGTAGCGAAGCGAGGTCAGAACCGCTGCGCCTCCGACAAAAAGCTTTCCGAGCCAGGTGGCGACGACTCGCTGCAGAAAAAGCTGAAGCATGATGGCTTTGGATGATGCAATGTCTGGTGATGTTGGGGTTGTGGCCTTCGACATATTCTTCGGTTTTCACCCCATCCGCATCTTGGGGAGCCTGAACGACGTTTTCGTTGGCAAACGACTGACGCACAACGAGAACATCTTAGTCATGTTATTTTGATTCACGAATGGTATGAGTTGCGAAATCTTTTACGGCAGTTCCAGATCCGGGATTGCGCACCTCACAGTACTTGTTCAACGTAAAAGGTAATGAACCTCGTACTCTTTACTACGAAGTACTTTACTTATACTTCGTTCTGTAGTAAACTAATCCGAAAACACGGGGGGTATAATTGATCATTACTAAAAGTAGGCCTGGTTGTGCTGTGTACCACGGGTAGTCGAACCTCTTCTGTGTACACTATCAGAATCAATGTTCATTTGGCGAACCCACTTTAGTTTAGGCTTATCGAAATTTAAAGAAATATTATGACTTTTCCCGTCCCGGGAAGAAAAAAGACCGAGAATGATGCTTCCTGAAACATAAGCTCGACTATTTTACGTTTCAATGATGTTCCAACACCACTGCAGTATTATTGATGACGCTACCAAAACCGGCAATCCACGCCACTCCCTCTACTTTACTGTTTTTTACTACCAGCAGTTGTAGCATTAGTACTCGTAGTTGCGCATGGATGAGTCAATGTTTAACTTGGTAACATTACTCTACCGGTACCGGTAGAATAAATATCAAAGTGATACTTATGAAGACTTTTTCAGCGTTACGGCGTGTTGGAAAAAAAAAAAAGGAAATGTTGCTGAAGTTCTTACTAGTACTGTAATGTACGGTACCTTGCCGTGGTGAAGTGTACCTCCGAGATAACTGGATGCACGAACGAAGAATGAATCATAAAAGTTGATCAAGAATAATGATGCGCTGGAGCGACTGTAATGAATCCACTTGCCAGTACTGTTCGGAGGAGCCATAGCAGCAGCCCTGATAGAATTGGGAGAGAATCAAAAACCGAAGCAGACGAGACCTCTATCATCGACAACACCGGCAACATAATAGGTGGTTCCAGCGAAAACGAGAGAAAGAACGACCGCTCCGAAGAGGAGGAGCACAACAAAACCGAGAACAACCACTTTGAGACGATGAATCGCGATAGCGAGGAACGAAGCGGTGAATTTAGCGCAGGTGATAACAGCGCGACCAGTTACAACCACGAAGAAGACCGAGATGACGGCACAAACCCCGACTGTCCGTTTCACAACAGCTCGAGCAACACCGTGAATTCAAGCACGACGAGCCAAACTTCCTCCACCGGAAGCCGGAAGTCCCGGCGATCCGGACCACGGAACGACAAGACAATCTTCCGGACGTTCGATCCGATGCAAGTCATCACCCCAGAACAATTGGAGGGCTTTTCGCTTTTGGTGACCACGCCGATTTGGATCTTCGATTTCATAGAACGGAGAAACCGATATGCCAATCCGGCTGGATTGGATTTATGGAGTGCGCCGTCTCTGGAGGAATTTTTGAACCGAAAGATGAACGACATGTCTGCGGCATCTGTGGCTAGAACACAAGAGTGCCAAAATCGCGTGGAACGTGCCCAGGTTGTCCAGGATATGTGGACTTTCTTCCCGAAAGGGAAAGCGCGAACGGTACAAATGACCATGACGGCTGTTCGATTGTCTGCCGACGAGGATCATTGTTCGATTCTCGTCGTAGCAAACATGACCACCGCCTCGTCGAGTGCAAGCAGCTCCAGCTTCGGGGCCAGTAAGAGTAGCATTTCCTCCGCGAGTAGCAGTGTCCACAGCGCTAGTAATGCGAAAACCAGTGCAACCGTAACTACAGCCTCGGCATCGGTGTCTACTCTTGCATCAACATCCGTATTGGAACCATCCAGAGATTCATCTTCAAAACAAAGTTTGAGTTTTTCTACAACTACCGTAAGCGCGAAAAAAACAATTGATCCTAATGAAGAACTAGATGTCAATACTACCAATACGTCCTGTAAATCGAACGGGAACATCGACATATTGTCTGAAAAGGAGGAAACGAAGGAGGAAAAGCAAGTCGGAGAAGACACAGATGGCAATAACCGACATGAAGAAAAGGACGCGGAGGAGGATTTTTGCGATCCTCAAGACGACGACACTATACCGATGAATCATATTCTAGAACCAGACAGTCATGCCTCAATGAATCATCATCATATGACAGGGATTGACGAGGACAATCCCGTTAACCAAGAAATTCTGCGTGGAGTCGAAATTATACGCCATCTTCCCATGGCAGTTTGCCAATTTGATATGAAGGGGAGAGTCATGTTCCAGAATCCAGCAGCTTACCTTCCGGCCCTTGATGACGAAGAGGAGAAGCAAAACGAAAACGATGACGACGAGGAATCGTTGCTGCACGACATGGATACCGACGACGAATCCGGATTCTATGAGCAACTATTCGATCCACAGTACGGAGGTTTATCGTCAAACAATGGCAGGGGGAACTTTATGGATCGCTTCGTGAACAAGAAGGTTGCTCGAGAGCTTCTCGAAGGCCTGCAAGACGCTCCGAAAAAAGGACTACTGCTAGGTACCATTTCAAGCACAACGTACAATACGACAACCGTCAGCATCGAAGCCGAACTCCACACGTCTACAAAGGGCCGAACGCAATGGTGTGCAATACAACTGCGCAAAACCAAGGACCCAGTGACATCTCGACCTGTCATACTATACAGTGCCCAAGATAAATCTGACGCGATGGAGGCCAAACGTGAACGCGAAGCCCGTTTGCAGAAATCCGAATTCCTTGCAATCATGGCCCACGAAATTCGAACGCCGTTGCATCAAGTCACTGGTTTCATCGATCTTTTAGAGCTTGATGCATGCAGCAATATCACCACAGCGTCTTCCGCCGGTGCGATGAAAACAAATAGCAAAACCTCTTCTTTCGACGGAACCGATTCCAGTATCCGAAACGCCATATTCCCGCACATTACGATTGACAATACAATGGGAAGAAAGGTTAGGAGCACCAGTATGATAGATGCAAGACAACCAAGATCGTCCTGGCCAGCTTCTGGTAATCCCCATCAACCAATCGGAAATCTAACTGGCGAGCAAAGGAATTATATCAAGCTACTGAAGTCCAGCGCGAACCAGCTCRTGACAGTGATTAGCGATGTTCTAGACTACAGCAAATTGGAGGCGGGTAAAATGAAGATAGAACGTATACCCTTCGAGCTACTCAGTGTAGTTCAAGGATCGATGGAAGCGGTACGTGGAAGTTGTGAAGAAAAAGGACTGACTTTGACTTTGGAATACGGGGGCTCTGATGACAACGACGAGGACGAAGAAGGGAATGGTGAAGACGAGACTATTGGCAATCGCCTTGACAATCTCGGAGTCGATAGTCCTTCAATCGATCTAAGGAAGCAATTTCGTCGACGGAGCAGCATTGATAAATCGAGTTCATTCTATCTTCCACCTAGACGAAAGAAAATCGGCAGAACCCACAGTTTTGGTAGACAAAAGAGCAAAGATAAGAGCCATCCTAATATTAGGACCAACAACATTCCATTCCGAATTCTGGGGGACCCAAACCGATTGCGCCAGGTGTTACTCAACCTTTTGTCAAATGCTATCAAATTCACGGAAAAGGGGGGAATACATGTTCGAGTGTCTTCTTCTACAAAGAAATGGGCTCCCCCGGCCACAAGGGCGGCAACCACAAGACACAAAAATAGCAGCATATCTCCACATTCAAATGGAAAATTATCATTGTCGACGTCCTCGTCATCGACTGTAAAAAGAAAAGAGGAAGGAAAGGCAGAGATGTTGGGGGACGCTGTCGATTCGATGAAATGGAACAGCACAGCAGACAATGTGAATTCTCGTCCACGCTGCCTGAAAATAGTTGTCAGCGATACGGGAATGGGGATAAGCAAAGAGCAACAAGACACAATTTTTGAAAAGTACCAACAGGCCAATTTGTCGGTCGCTCGCAACTTTGGTGGAACTGGTTTGGGGCTTTCCATTTGCAAATTACTGGTTGAAGACACCATGGGTGGCTCGATTGGCGTAGATAGTGATGAGTCACGAGGTTCGTCATTTTACATTACCCTGCCTATTGAAGTTCCAAGAGAAACGAACGACGAGGCAAGTGGCTGTGCGATCGGAGGAAAAGATAGTGAAGAGGTCGGTGCATCAATGAAAATACTTGTTGCAGAAGACAACAAGATCAACCAAAAACTCGTCGCTAATATGTTAAAACGAATGGGCCATCGGTCGATCTTGGTTGACGACGGTCGACAGGCCATTGATATGATTGAAAAGCAAAACTCGCAGAACCAACGCCCATTTGACGCAGTTTTGATGGACATTCAGATGCCCGTTATGGATGGGTTGGAAGCGACGAGGCGATTGAGGACTATGGGATACACAGACTTGCCGATTGTCGGTCTCACTGCTAGTGTAAAACGTTCCGATTATGTAGAACTTGGCTTCAATGATTGGTTGCCCAAACCGATCTTGATGAAAGATCTGAAAGCAAAACTGCTGAAGTTACACAGTGACCATTCGGAGGACAGCGACGAATCGTCATCAAAAGTGCAAGTGTGAGGGCTGAAACCAGCAGCAGCGATAAAATAGTATCAGCAGGATGGTTCATACAAATGGATTACAACGTTACTACTTAATCGGACTTTTTAACAGTATGGTTATAGGAGATATTTTTCCCTATTCTAGTTCAGAGAGAATCGTGTAACCTTTCGGATGCTTGAAACTTGTTTCCTTTCCATCCCAGTAGGATCTAAGTCAGAACGGAACGCCAAGCTTGGACTGCCCTTTATTCTTCTGGAGTACTTTACTTGAAATAGCAGTAGTACCATGATATATTCCCAGCGAGAATCGTGTAACCTTTCGGATGCTTGAAACTTGTTTACTTTCCATCCCATTAGGAACCAAGTTAGAATTGAAGGCCAAGCGTGGACTGCACTTCATTCTTCTGGAGTACTTTACTTGAAATAGCAGTAGCATCATGACATACACCCAGTATTTGTTTTGCATTGCAAAACGTGACGGCGTTCATCGTTGACATAATACGATTATTCTGTACCGGTAGGACATTTATCACTGTATGAAATCCGACCCAAGAATGTGATCAGATGACAGATGGATCGGCAGTGCGCGAGGACGAATCGAGGGTGGAACTGTGTCTACTAAAGGATCCCTTCTTGTCTAAGCCGACCAGAGTACAAAGCTCTCGATTCATCGATCGCAGCGAGAGGAAGGGACATTGCAGTATCTATATCGCCACCGTTGAATTCGTCCAACCATTGGATTTTTCCGAGTTCTGGTTGCCAAACACCGGTTCTTGTTACTTTGCAGATTGCCACAACGTGATCTCCCGCATCGATTAAGGATTTTGACGACCGACGACACTCGACTTGCAGATATAATGCGCACCCCGGTAAAACTTCGAAACCCTTGATTCTGCCATCCCCAGTGTCGAACCCTTCGGTTTCATCCACGCTACTGAGCGTTGTAGGAGGTGTTGGGTTCGGAATCTTCCACCAAGGGAACCCCTCTTCGCCGCAAGCGACTGACTTATCGATATCTCGCCCCGATTTCTTTCCGAGAATCGGGACCAAATGCCGATGGTCATAAGTCAAGAGCTGAAGAATGCCCGTGGAAGGAACGTCGTCGTCGTTGTCCTCGTCATCATTGCCGAGAAAGGAATCTTTTGTGAGCGTCCCGTGATAAAAGGACAAGGCCCATAACTTTGGAGACGACACAGAGACGGGAGTGCAAAATGTCATTATGTTCATCGAAGTTATTGTGTTGCACGGTTCAGTGGATGCCGTGGCGAAGGACCAGACCGGAACGGAAATGGGGGGAGGTGGTGGTATTGGTGATGACGAAGACGGAGAGGACAAGCCGTCCACAGTCATCGAATTCGCCATTGCTACGGCAACAACGATGGCAAAAGCTGCTCTCAGCGACAGCCACATCTTGATTCTGATGAATTTGTCGAGGGTGCTAAGGATAGCGTCCTGTACCATAGAAAGTCGATACCCTCACATGTCAGGCCTCTTTCTGGATTTCGATTTTGAAGTTTTGAGATTTCTACAGGCATGTTGCCGTACGTGAACTCCAAGGGATACCATAGGGTACGTACCTTGCCGTACATCGGGACGTAGCGTACGGTAGAGGACTCGTTTCAACCTTTTAAAATCGTTCAGAAGCACGTACGAACTCTTATCGTACTCCTTCAGGACCCCCTGTAACTCGTACTAGTAACGGTACGTACGTAGGTGCGAATGAGAAATGTATCCTGCGGCGGGATACGATACTATCTTCTGAGAAAACGAGTGATGGACAGACCTAGGATCTTGCAGCGTAGAAGCACTGGAACTCATTTCTACCAACCTAACGAGAACGTACGGTACGGTACTTGTATGTACTTTACTCAGTGTTATCGGTAATCGGTACTGTTCGTACCGTACGGTACCGACTAACTGGAACTGGAAGGTACTCGTACGTATGGTACCTACCGTACTGTAATCCTACTACTGTACTAGTTTTCGCCTTGTCGGTAAGCTACGAAACCTTCCATTCGATGGTTCGAGTTCTCGTTGGAGCATCTCGTACCTGTACGAAAACTGAACGACTTGAGTACGAGCACCCGTTCCCTTCGAGATAAAACAAATGAGCAAATTGCCTCTCGAATACGAGTACTCGTACCTGGTACCTGATAAAGTACCCGTTCTGCCGTGCCGTACTCGTACTGCAATAGAGTAGCGTCCTCGTACAGTTTTTGTTTTGAGGATTGATTCTGGTCCGTTAAGGAAAGCGACCTTGCGATTGTCATCATACCGGTACAAAAAGATTGGAAAAGAGAAGCATTGGCAGCCCCTACTCAAGGAGGTTCCAAGACCACCTCAAACAGTTTTGCGGATATCAAAAGCCGACCAACTCTGAACGCGAAACCTTGAAAAAATGTCTGGATTCGGCGGAAGTGGCTTCGGCGGAGGCAACAGGAATAACAACAGAAACAATAACAATAACTCGTGGGGAGGAAAAGGTGGAAGAAACAATAACTCATGGGGAGGGCATGGAGGAGGCCGTAACAGTGGGCGCGGTGGGCGCCATAGCGGGCGCGGGGGGCGATCGGGTGGCCGTGGTGGGCGATCGGGTGGACGAGGCCCGAGTGGGTTGATCAAAATTTGTGGTTTCTATACGAAAAGAGATGATTGCAGTCGCGTTAGCTGTCAACATGCACACGTGATAAAATTGCATGCCAAAATTGACGCAACCGGTAAAATCAACAACAACAACAATAACAACAACGGATTCTCGAAGGGCGGCGACTGCCATGCCGTTACTTCGGTCGCAATTTGGGAGACCGGTGGCAATGTAAAAATTTTCACCGGCGGAAAAGACGGATTCTGGAGGCTCTGGAGCTTCAACGCAAGAACCAACCAGTTTGACCAAGAGTTCGAACACCAAATGGGAGGACCTGTCGAAACCCTGGTAGTTGCTTCCAATTACTTGTTTTGTGGTTTCGATGGTATTTCGAAAGCTCTGCCCGAAATCTCCGTAGGGATGGTCCATGCTTGGAATCTAGCAAGCCCGAACGATCCGCCACTTGAGTTCCACATGCAGCCCAACCTTATCCCATATGCCCACCCCTCGGCCGTTAAAAAACTCTTGGTGATAGGTCAAAAGGTCATCAGCGGGTCCGTGGATGGTTCGATTAAATTGTGGACGTTTCAACCCCCTTCGGCGGAGCATCCAAAGGGAGCATTCGTCCTGACTCAAAATCTTTTGGGGCACGCGAGAGAAATTTCTGGGCTGGTGGACGTTGGATCGATGCTGTGGTCCTGTAGCACGGACGGGTCGATTCGGTTATGGGACATGGCGAAACCAGGAGCACCTTGCCAACACTTCATCAGCATGTCTTCACCAGCGAGTGGTGGTAACGACAACAGTGGACCAGGCCATACCAACGCCGTCACGGGATTGGAAAAATTCAAAAGCTCCGCAGGAGATTTTGTCCTGAGCTGTTCGTTGGATGGAACTGTCAAGGCGTGGAATGGAGGAACTGGACAATGTGTGGCCAGCGAGAGCCACGAAGATGGAGTTGTCAGCATGTCGATGATTGGTGATATGAACGGCAAACCATGTTTATTGCTGGGTTGTGAATCCGGCATGATGTATATTCGAAACCTCGAACCAACAGCCAAAATCCAACAAGCTTTTGCTGGTCTGATTATTCTCCACGAGTTCGTTGCGGTTGTCCATTATGGTGCTGTGAAAAGCTTATGTAAAGGCCCCGCCGGAACCTTCTACACGGGCGGAGAGGATGGCAAGGTGTTGGTGTATCAGATAACAGGCGATCTTGGTTTGTGAGCCACGTCTACTGCCATGGAAAGGCATGCATTTGCCGCATTATTTAAACGATGGAATAATTCAGTGGAAAAATGGAACACTGCTAATGAGTTACTCTAGGAATGCTTGAACTAACAAAATATGTATTTTTTACAATTTAAATTCAAGTTACTTAACGCTTGAATGAAATAGAATACAGCCAAGAGCAAAGACGTTGAAAAGCAGCTGTTTGAGGTAATCTCCAGTGAGTTGTTTCATACGCAAAACAGCTACCATTTTAGAATTGTTGCAATTGTTGCTACTACCATGGCACCAAACCCCAACGCGGCGACAATCTTGTTCTGCAGGCGTCGTCTATCCGACAAATAATAACCGCCCCTACCGGAAGCTGCTCCCGGTGTCAATGATGCAAGTTTGTTGTGGATCAAGGGCGGAAAGACAAACGCTAGTGGGCATCCGAGCAAGCCACCCATCAAACTAACCACCTTATCCAGGCGCTCCATAGTCAAAACTGCGACCATCCCTAGTGCACACACTAATAGCGACGACAACACGTCACGGCGCTGCAGGATCTGTAGTATTCGAAACAGTGAATTGTTGCTTCGAACTGCTTCCGAGACAGACATCCTTTGCAGCATAGATGCAATTGCAGTACATGAGATCTCTAGCGATGGAAAGTTCTGAAGAGGAAAAGTAAGCATAACCGCCACACTATAGGCAAGTTGCACCGTCGTGGCCAACCTGCTGTCATCGGGCAACGATGTCGTCATAACAGTGCGCACCCCGTCGCCAAAGGACATCCAACAAAACACGCCAAAAAAAGTGTAAAACCAAATAATGCATAGGATGACATTTGGGTACAAAGTTGGAAAATACTGGCGATCTTGAGGAGTTGCCACTGCTTCCTGAAGTGGGATCAAAAGCGTGATGGAACCTTCGAATAGAAGTACCTGTTGTAACGAAAAAAGAGTCGATGCCGGAGGTTACCACATTTGAGAGTCGATATATTTTAGAGAAAGTGGGTGGAACGAATCAAATCAGAATTTGCCTAGGAAAAGTGCGCATCCTTTCAATCTCCCGTCCCTCCTTTTCTCTACAAAGAAAGTTTTGGCCGACACTTCCTTGTGGAACTTAACTAGTTCAACGATCCTTCTGTGCTGAGTTTCTCAATCTGATCACGCAAGACAAATTAGCAAGTAACTTACACTTGTTCCAATAAACAAGAACCATCCGTCGCTGTTGAATGGTGGGAGGTGGAAAAATTTATACAGAATTTCAGCTAGAGGCCCTCGTTGACCATCGTCGACATCGGCATCACTGTTTTGCTGATCTTCGTTTCCGTCCCCGTTCCCTTGTTCTACACCAGGAACTGGCTCGATGGCGTTCTGAAAGGCGAATCCCAAACACAAAATCAAACCATACATAATTAGGCCATTTGCAAGCGCATTCGTTACGGTCAAGTGACGGATTTCTTGAATCCAACTTAGAGGAATTTGCACTATGACCATCAGGGCCAAAAATACTGAAGTCGATACATCCATACCGAACAGATAATGGCAACTGCTCCTCATATTTTGCGGCACAAATATAAGGTATGTGAGACAAACCCCAGATTGCACTTTAAAAGTCATACAAAACACAAAATACGAGCGTGAAAGTTTCAGACAACAATCATGGTTGCGAATGAGTACATGAAAAGTGGAAATGTTATTAGTCTCGCTTACAATCCAATTCGAAAGATGCAACAACGTAAAAGCGAAACAATGAATCGCACAACATGCTGGTGAAAATTCAACCCAGTACATCTTGTGGTACTTACTTGCGGCGATTCCAATCTTGACCAAATTTTGGCCATTCGAACCGAATGCCTTCTTGGCAAGGTCCGGATAGGATGGGGTTGTCAACGCAGGAGTTGTTGAAGCAGGAATATGTTTGGTATTATTGTCTTTTTCGGCCACCAGTTCTTCGAGGAACTCATTTTCGAATTCTTCTCCACTAACGTTCTCGCTGAGACACTCGCCGACACTACTACGACCGCTGCTGCTCCTCCGGAGTTCCTTCATTTCTAGTACAGTTTGGCGTCCGTCCTCGGTGCCAACAACGTTTCCTATCCTTTCGAACGATAGCTTGCGATTCGTTGACTCAACTCTCCAGCATTCAAGCAAAGAGGCACTGCTCGCTAGATACAGGGCTGTTGACGCGAACAGCATGGGAACAGCAATGACCCAGCCTGCTTTTGCAAATCCGTGCGGAAGATATAATATAGCTGGCCCCACCATCCCCTTTATAATTCCTACAACGGCCGACTTCAAGTCCCCGCCGAGTCCATGTGCGTGTGGATCTACCGAACTCGCTGCCGTAGGATTGCGTCCGATAGAAGTTGGACTGGCATCGTTACCTCCTTGCAGTTGCGATTTGTAACTAAACTCGTCGTGGCTGTGATCGCCATCTACGAAGCGGTCTTCCATGTCCAAAGGTGAGAATTTTATTCGGTTCGTCGGGGTATTGGTTCTCTTTTCGTTCATCGTCCCAACTAGAATATCCTTGTTGTGTAGACCTCTTGCCGTATCCTTCCCACGCCAATTCGAAACCACGAGCGAAAAACTAACCGAAATGCTATTATTTATTGGAGGCACCTACCGGTAGCAGTAGGGAAGACTCGTAGTACCGAACGGAGTACCGTATGATATTTTGAGTACCAACTGTTGCACATGCTTTTTCTCTCAAAATCATCATACATACGATACCGGATTCTGTGGCCTACCGGTACAAGTATGTAGCATACGTTGGAACAAAATGTAAGTTGCCGAGCGAGCTGACCGAACAAGACCCGTGCTTTACTCGCTCAAAAAGATGGCAAAGACAGAGATTCAAAAATTAATTTTTGAACAAGTGAAGAGTAAGAGAACAGATGGTACGACTTCGTACCCTACCTACCACATACTTCTACCTAATAAAGTCTCTGAACTCTCTCACCCACCCTAGCAACGCTACCGGACGGTACAAGTACGCCAGCACAAGTGTTCACGGGGGGATATTATTTGATATTTGGCGTTTTCTTAGAGTTGGGGATAATACTAATATTTTGTAGGAATCAAGCAATCTGATTGGCTGATTGGACAGAAAAAAATTTGCAGTCCCTCAAAATTCTATTTCCACGTGTGACAATCACGAGTAGATAGTGAATGATTTTGAATAGTACAAATCCTCTGTAGAATTTATTTTCAATAATTTTGATCTGTCTAATCAGCCAATCAGATTGTTTGATTTCGTATTATCCCTAACTCCAAGAAAACGCCAAAAATCAAATAAAATCCCCTTTTCGTGTGTTTTGAACACTTGTGCCAGGCCACGCCACATACACCCTACATTGTACCGCCCGCAGGGGTCATGCATCGAAATTTTTGTCCATCACAGAGTACTACTCGTATGTACCGTACCGTACGAGAAAAAATAGAAACTCAAATTCCAACCAAAACGACTAAATAGATTGCAGGGCGGTTTCGACCGAAAATAATTCGTTTTTTTTTCATTCTCCCATCTCCATTTCCCCTCTCCCCCCTCCCTCCACACAAAACAACTAGTCCTTTAATATTTCTATTTGTGGTCCTTACTACTGGAGAGGTAATTTCATTGCTTACTACTTCTTGAGAATTTCAATAAGTGCTTACTACTGGACAACCTCTATTTACTAGTGCTTGCTAGTGGGGACAAAATACTATCAATGAGCACTGCAAACTGCTGGGGGGTACTAACAAGAAGGGTGCTGTTCCGTACTAGTACTAGATGCTGCTCCCACCAGTAGTAAGTAATGAAATTACCTCTCCAGTAGTAAGGATCACTAGTACTAATAGAAATATTGAAGGACCAGCAATAAATTAAATAATTGGAATCATTTTTTTTACTGTAAAAATGAGCCTAAAAATTTTGTTAGTGTTTGTATGGGGACCATGGAAAACCAGCCAGCATTTTGCTCTCCAGTAGAAAAATAGTTTACCGCCCTGCAATCTATTTAGTAGTCTTTCTGCCAAACTTCCAAAATGTCCCCCCAGGATTTTTTAAATTCTCAGTTTTACTGCAAAATACTAGTAAAACTACCCAGCCTATAAGCAGTTACAGCTTCTTTATAAAAAAAATAACTATTTTAATTTTTGAGTAACCAGTCTAGTAGCCCAGCTTTTACTGTTGATTCTGAATATTCTATTTTGTTGGATATCAAATGTATTTTTTGGTACAATTTTACTGAGAAGAAAAGAATACATGATATCATATAGGCTGGGCCAAGCAAAAAAGCACGGTTTAAACCGTACATTAGCACCAATTCAATATATACATAAACGAATATCAGTCAATATTTGTCGTACGCCGTACTCCCCCACGCCATTAGAAAGCTCTTTGAATTCTCTTTTCAACCATGTGCTTATCATACTTAAGCGTCCGTTGGGGAAATTTATAGCCGAAACGGTCAGTTCAAGACTGAAACAGTTATACGGTTAAATTATATGTGTGCGTGGATTAGCAGCCATCTAATTACCGTGTAATGACTCGTGGGATTAAAAATTTGACTTGTACTAGGCCTACAGCATGCACGTGAAAGCAACTCGTGGGATTAAAAATTTGCATGTGTTCGGAGCCAAAATTGTTGGTTGAGCACGTGCGCGCGAAACTATTTGGTYGCATGAATGCGTGCCCGCTGTACACTGCAGTACAAGCCAATTTTTAATCCCACGAGTCGTTACACGGTAATTAGATGGCCRCKAATCCAAGGTTTAAACCGTACATTGGCTGGCCAAGCCTATACGATATTACCACCAGTGTAAACAGTAGCTGGAGGAGGGAAGCACTACCACCACTATCTACTAGTGGTATACTGCTGCTGGTACTACTACTACTACTACTACTAGTACTGTGGTAGAGTTTGTCAAAGTAACACTATTACTACTTTTACTACTACTACCACCACCAGCACTAGTAGTAGTACTACTACCTAGTAGTAATACTAGTAGTATTGGTACTCAATTAACAATACTACTAGTGACTACTAGTAGTACTAGTATTATTCTAGTGCTACTAGTAGCTACTACTACTACTACTACTACTACTACTACTACTAGTAGTAGTACTAGTGTTGTGTTACAAAAGAGTAAGGTCACACCCGATTGTTGCTACCAAATGTATCATATGTATGGTAGTACAAAGAAAAACCTCAATCAATCAAGTGAGAAATCACAGTCAAAATACACGCAAATAACACAAAATTGATGAAATCTGGCTTGATCAAATCATCAATTCCAATGCTTTTGCTCCGACATTTCCGTGTCAGAGATTTCTCCGACATTTCCAAGCACCAAAAGCAAGCTGGAAACCACAATCAAAATACCCACCAAAAAATAGAAGAGATGGAATCTGGCTGTTGAAATAGGCTACACATGTACACTAGTAGAGTGAGAGATCCAATCAAGGGGCTGATTGAATTCAATCTGCTGGCATCAAGAGTGCCCCTCAAGCATCTGCTAGCAGCTCTTGCCAAAGCAAATCCAATTCTGGATCGGACAAGACCACATACTTGAGAGTAGTTCCTTCCCCACTTGGAAGCAAGCCTGGAGGCAAGCTGCTTGCAAGCTGCAATTGCCTCTGGGCCCTCCATCCCATCAATGGAGTAAACAAGAGATGTGAAGTGCCAATGGGCCTGATGACAAGGGTCCTGGTACTTGTCCTTCTTCTCTTGCTCTTGTGACTGGAGGACACACAGTGGAGCCTTGTTTTCATAGGAAGATGAACCAGTATCCATGATCCTGACATCAAACACTGCTGTGGTGCCCAGCTTCCAAAATCAATGCACTGTGAGATTGCCTCTGAGCTCTCATGGTGGTGGTGGGGTATTGCATAGGCATTGGTTTTGAGCAGGTGGTGGCTGATAGATAGGTATTTGTGGTTCATCAGTAACACTACTTGATGTCAAAGCCTAGGCACAGAACTGGTGCCCTTTGCCTGCAATGTTGTTGTGGCAGTGGAGGATGAACCCACTGTTTCTGCAGGACATGGTGTGTTTGACTGAGAAGGTGACACTGCATCCATCACACTGCTTGGGGAGGTGAAGAGGATGGAGGTCAAATCTCAGTTGGAGGTTGTCTCAAAATTCTCTGGCTGACAAAATGGTCCCATTGAAGATATGGGGTGTGGCATTCAGCCAGGCACCAGTCGCTTGTCCCTGTTGGATGCGGCTTCAGACTTTTGGAGACCAGGTCAGAAGCAGGGTGTCAAGGGAGGCTTTCAGTGACTCTATGTATTGCTTTTGGTGTTCCCCCAGGTGGCGCCAAACATTGTTGCATTAAGTCTGTGCGTCAAGTTCTTCAGAATTTCGAGGGAGGCAATGAGGTTGCTGGTGGCCCCAACAGACATGTTGAAGTTTTCCTGGGCCTTGGCCTTGTTGGGAATGGGGATCCCAAGGCTGGAAAATTTCACTGGGAATTCCAGCAAATCTTGGAGACTGGCGGTGGTTTTGATAGTGACGCCAAGTAGTGCCAGCAAAAATTCCTCTGTCAAAGCCTTTTCAACTGGTGCAAAAGAGTCTGCCACATTGGGAACCACACATTGGAGGTAAGAAGTCCATTTGGACTGCAACGACATGGTCAACCCAGAAAAGGCTGAAGGCTGCCTGTGGATACTGTCATGCAGCGCCAGCAAAAAGTCATATGCTGTTGACCCATTTGTTGATATGGGACTGGAGCCAAGCTTCCTTGGCTGCAGCAGTACCAATAAATCCTCCAATATAGCAGTGCTTGTCCTGAAAATCAAAATTGCATTCCTGGAGGATTGTGTGAGATTGGGAGCGGTGAACCTGGAGGCCCCACAAAAATACTTTTTGATGGCTCTGGAAAATATCTGCGTTCTGGGCCCAACCATAGGAGGAATTACATGGTTCCAGCAATGTCATTGACTCTTTCATGCATGGCAGCATAATTGTTGGTATACCACGGCTGGACTACATCTGGAAATGCAGTTTGAAGAGTTTTGGCAAGTGGAACCAAGGCCAGACTTTAGAGGATTGCATCATCAACAGGGGATCCCCCTGGGTGATCCTTTGCAAGAGTGTAAAACCAAACAGGGATCTGTGGATGATTGGTCTCAGAGAATCAGCTTGGCAGAAAATGCTGGTAGCCATTGGAGCAGAACTGAGCCCCTGCAGGCCAGAGGTGTTGAATGGTCCAAAAGAGGGCCTTGCACCTGATCTCAATGAAACTGTTTCAAGCATCAACATGGAGTGTTCCCTCTGGGTCCTCCAGATTCAGAGGATGCCATTTGGTCTGTGGTGATTTGGTTTGGGTGACTGTGATATCACCATTTTGCCTTGGTCTCTCTGGCTGTGTGCCAGTCTGGCATCATTGGGATGACAGCCAGGCGGGGGCACAAATGTGTGCCTCCCAGATGGCATGGGAGGCCCCCTCCATTCAGACTTGCATCCCAGCACATAAATTAAAATTGCTGAACTGGTCAGTGGCAAGTGGGCCTGCTGCTTGTAGAATGGTCTTGGCCATGAGTTGCCAGTATATCTTGCTGATTCTGACAGGCCAAACTCCAGGTTGTTTGTCAAGTGCCACGAGGCAGCATGCCATGAAGGCACAAAAGGAGGCCCATGGAGGATGGAGATTAGCTAGCCAATTTGTCAGATCTGTGGTAGGGACCTTGGGGTAGGGCTGAAATACTCCATCTATTGTGCCAAGATTTCTCGGATTACACAGAGGAGGATGCTTTGATTTCAACACTTCGAGAACTGGCCTTCTGGTTTTTGTGCAGGTGTCCTCCGGATGCAAAACACCTCCACTGTCTTGGTTGGTGAGGGTTTGGCACACAGCTTGGATCCATCCCAAGAGAAGTTTATCATTGAAGGCCCAAAAAGCTTTGTCATCAGTTTTGAGGGTGGTGAGCCCATGGCTGAGACAAGCCTAGGCAGCTAGGTCATCAATGAGAGGACCGTAATTTCTGGCATCCCAATGGTTGATCTGTTGCTCCAGTAGGCTTTGGATGCCACTAGCCTTTTTCACCCCATGTGCTTTGTTCAGGATCACTGCCACAAATACCAAGAGATGTTTGGAGTTCCACTCTCTCAAAAGTACCCTTGTAGCTCTGCACAAAATCACTGAAGAAACATTTCCCCACACAATTCTGGGGGACTAGGTACCATCGGGGTCTTATGTTGACAATCCGTTTCCAAAGGTGTTGCCACAGGACATCATCCACAATGCCTCCTGTGAGATGGGTTCCTGGGTTGCTGTGAACGTGGTTGCCATAGATTTTTTCCCTTTTGGAATCTGCCTCGGTGAGCACATAATCCTCGAGATCCGCCCCCTCATCCGGAACTGGAAGATCTGGCCTAATTGTGGTCATATGGGTGGGGGTTGGGAATCTAGAGGCAGTGGTGTTTTGTCGCAACTTTGGGGGATAACTGCCCTTGCTGTTCTTTCTGCATGTATTGCCTGCACCTCTGCCACAGTCCTACTTTCAGCCTCAGGATGATGAGGGGCCTCATTCCTTCACTTCTGCCACTATTCTTGTCTCTGTCTCCTGGCCTGAGACCTAATATCCAATCATTGTTGTGGAGTTGCGGATTGAGCCTCCGCATTAGCCTCCAAATGAGCTTCCAAATTTGGCGCTGGGCAAGGCACCGGGTGAGCATTATTTGCTTTATGCAAAGAAGCCTCCTCTGCAAAAGCAGCATTGTGTTCCTCACTCAAAGCCAATTACCATGAAGATGCAGAACAAGCCTGCAAATGAGGTGCGGGGCAATGCAGATCGGCATTGGTTGCCTCACACAAAGATGCCTCCACATCAGCATCAGCCTCTGAATGTGGCCCCAGGGAAGTCATTGAAGCATTATTACTTGTCTCACACACAGAAGCCTCCACCAAAGCCTCCAAAGTTGCTGCAGAAGCCTCTGTTGTATGAATTGCTGCAGCATCCACAGCAGCGCTTGTAGCTTTGGGTGTTGCAGTGGTTGGTGCATCCATAGCATTAGGGTCCGCATCGGAATCCTCCAGATCTGAATCTTCCTCCTCCTCCAATGAAAATGATGCACCTTATTGAGGAATATCTTGAAGAATTGCATCCAAAGTAGCAGTGGATGTGTACTTGGCAGAGACATTGGTGATATGCTTGTTCTTTGCCTGATGCAGGTCGAAGGCCACCTCCCATTCTGTTACTGAGTCCTGCATCAGTGGTGCAGCAGCTGCTCTGTGCCTATCTGCATCAATGTTGTTGTTGTTGTTGTTGTTGTTGTTGTTGTTGTTGTTGTTGTTGTTGTTGTTGTTGTTGTTGTTGTTGTTGTTGTTGTTGTTGTTGTTGTTGCTGCTGTTGTTGTTGTTGTTGTCATCATCTTCGTCGTTGTTGTCATCGTCATAGTCATTGTCGTAGTCATAGTCATAGTCGTAGTTGTTGTCGTAGTTGTCGTCGTAGTCATCGTCATACGTATCATCCTCATCATCCGTATCTTGTCCTGGAGCCCCTGGAGGGGGACCAAAAGCTGCTGGATCAGTGCCTTTGGGAACGGGTCTATTGGATCTAGATTGGGGGCGATGCTGCAAAGGGGGGGGGGGTCTGTAGAAGAAGGAACCGATGCCACCGGAGGCACTGTAGGCCTCCAGTGTCATTGTTATTGGCTTGTATCTGTTCTTGAGCTGATTAATGCAAGCACAGCTTACACAGCTTCTTCCAGACCCCAAACAGCTGCACCCAGACACCTTGCCTGCCAGAACACGTGACCATGTGCTGAATTTGGTGCATTCACAGCAAGGAAGAGGCTTTTGCCTCTTGTAGTCTCTGCTCGCATGCCTGTTGTTGTTGTTGTTTTTGAGTTTTCATCCATTTTTGCTGGTGTCTGATATTCTCACTGTGTAGGTCTCAGTAGGAATTCTACACAAGAAAAGAACAGTAACTGTGAAAAATGACCACTTTCCAACTTCAGCGCCGTGAACTTCAACAGAGCTGGGGGAGGTCTGTAGAGCCTCTACTAGTAGCCTAATCCTGAGCACACTTTCAGAACCCTCTACTATAGACTAACTATACTAAACTAACACTCACAGCTACTTGAATTGACTTGATCCCAGTCAGGTAGTAGTAGGCGTAATAGTAGCTAGTATGGAAATTATGTTCATTTTTCAACAGTAAAATAGTACCAAAAAAATAAAAATTCATTTCATTTCCAACAGAATGGTATATTCAGAATCAGCATTAAAAACTGGGCTAGACTGGCTACTCAAAAATTAAATTTGTGGTATTTTTTTATAGCAAAGCTGTAAGTAACTGTTTAAACAAGGTGGGATAGTTTTACTACTAATTTTATGCAGTAAAACCTGGGGGGATTTTTTGGAAATTTGGACCAAGAAAGGTGGAATATGGGTTTTCAATGCATTGCACACCCCTCTAAATTATGACCCCTGATGACTGCCTGCACGTACAGAATGAAAAAAGAACTACTACTAGTAGTAGTACAGGATCAAACATGAAATATAGCATGTAGTACATGCTTTGCATATTCTTATGATACATTGGGTGATCCCCATAAACATAGTAGAATCTATGCTGACATACTTTGCTTCTACTATGACTCAAGGGGAAGGAGTATGTAAACATATAATCATAAATAGTAGTAAAAAGTAAAAAGGCTGATTCGGAAGGGTCCTTTACCGTAGTACAGTAAAGGCAGGGGTCATAAATTTATGAACCCTGAGTAAAGGTACAAACTATGAGAACTGTAGCGAAAACATGGAAGCAATAGAGCTGAAAAGCGACAATCGTGCATATGGGCATGTGTATGTACCTGGTACAACTTGAGTACGAGCAGTTCAAAATTAACATAATGATACAACGGATACGACTCTGGCTATTCTTAGAGTACATCGAGATATTTTCTGATTCCATAGCAGTCGTCTTTTGTCAACTAAGTAAATTTTATTATGCCAACGAAGTCTTTCCATGGAAGTGAGTTCTTCGTACTTTGAAATGCTATAGATTCCAGTTAATGAAATAATGTACTTAAAAGGAAGCTTAAATAATCATTTTCTTGATACTATCCAATAGAGAAAATAACGAAACAAGTGAGTGAGTACCAGTACAGCACGATGGAGACCGATTGTAGAAACTCTGTATCGGTACGAGTAAGAGTGTTAACAACGAGTTCCTCTTTCATCCTACTTAAAGGCATTGGTCACTTCTTTGTTTAGACTCTAGAAAGTCAGCAAAATTTCACACGACCAAATCTTACGGTTACCGATGCCCTAGTAGAAAAGTATTGAGATATTTCGACAAGAACACATTTCCTGGAAACCGTTGCTACGAACACGGGAATCGAAAAGTAAAATGCTTTCATCTTCTTTGGGGAATTGGGAAGAGCTTCGTCGGAATGAAAGCGCAAACATCCTCCGGCGGGAACGTGACCAGGTCCTCGACGTTCTCCAAAATTACATAAACGAAGAAGATGAAGGACCCGCTAAGAACATTGCGTTTTGTCACCTTGTGTCGCTCATGCCGTTTAATGCCATCCAGAACCAAACGAGCGACGGATATAATGACTTTGCCTACGAAGCATCGGTTGCAATAGCAATGGCCATAAGCCATTTGAACGAGGGAAATGGAATTCTTGTGAAAGAAGTCGAGGGTTTGAATGAGCGATGCAACATCCGCTTCACAGCAGAATTCATTGGTAAGCAGTAAACAATGGGCTCATTCAAAGAAATAGAATTGTGGCGTTCTTCCTCGATGAAAAATTCTGGGTCTAATTAACCCTATTCTTTTTCTTTAGATACTCAGCTTGATCCAGGAATAACCATGAATCGAATTTTAGAATTGACCGATACGTCGGGGACCAGGCATCCTAGTGCCTTCTTGGGAGCCTTCCGATCGGCCGTTTCCGGGCCCTCTAGCATCATCACCGGGCTTCAAGGCTACCCACAGATATCCGGAGCTTCTACAAGTGCCCTGTTGGATGACAAGAATCAATATCCGAAGTTCGCGAGAACAATTCCCTCAGACGACGGTGTTGCTACATCCATCATTCAGTATTTCTCTACCTTTCTAGGATTGGAGCACCTGGCTGTAATTAATATAAACGACTCATATGGAAACTCGTTCGTGAGAGGATTAAAAGTCGCAGCTGCGAAGCATGCTCCAAACATGAAAATCGCTCAGATACCGATTGAGGAAAACGACGAATCGATCAAGCAAGCAATTGAATCTTTAAAACAAACAAACTACAGGTTCGTCTTTTGTATCACCTTCAAACCATGGTTTGATGTTATCATGGAAGAAGCAGCACGGATGGAGGCAGCAGGAGATGGCAAGTATAATTGGATGTTTCCCGATTCATTCTCTGGTGCTCTGAGTCATCGAAAGTTCGAAAGAGGTTCCCTATTGCAAAAGGCATATCAAGGTACCGGAATGCTGACATCCTCTGCCAAATCTGGTTCGAAATTTCAGTCTTTTTCGTCTAGCATGCAAGCTTTAAAAAACGAGGAAGACTTCCAATATTTGAAAACGCTCATCCCACGTTTTGATCAGACTCCTTTTTTCGAGCTCAACAGCACTTTCATGCACCCTATCAATTATGACTACACAGTGTTCTTCTACGATGCAGCTATTCTTTTGGGACTTGCTGTGTGCGAAGCTACCGGAGATGATTTGAGAATCACAGGGAATACATTGTACGACCAAATTGCAAAATTTTCTTCGTTTCAGGGAGTATCTGGTACCGTCGCTCTAGACCCAAACACGGGAACTAGAGAACCAAACAGTGCACTCTACACTCTAACAAACTTTGTCGAAAGAGGAGGAATAGATGAAGAAAATGGGATGGATATGGTGGAGTTTGAAACAATTACAACAGATCAGTACTCGAACGGAACATGGTCATCAATTCTAAACTATACGTTCAACGATGGTACTTCAAATCGGCCTTTGGGAATCCCATCGCCATCGACCGATAAAAACCTCATTGAATCGTCGATACGTTCGGTGATGTGTACATTGTGCGCTCTCACCATGCTTTTGTCTATTGGATTTGCTCTATGGACATGGTATTTTCGAAAAACAAAAGTTGTAAGGGCAAGTCAACCATTTTTCCTTTTGCTGATATGTCTAGGAAGCTTCATCATGGGAAGTACCATAATATCTCTCCAATTTGATCATAAAATTGCAGATCTCGATGGAAACAATATCGCATGTAATGCGGTAGCCTGGCAAGCATTTATTGGTTTTGGCATTGTGTTCTCTTCTATCGTATGCAAGACGCATAGGATCAACATTGTTATGCGAAATGCTCTTAGATTCTCAAGGATTACAGTTACAGTCGAGGATACAATCAAACCAGTTTTGTTGTTAACATCACTGAATATTTTATTATTGTCTCTGATGACGGCGCTGAACCCAATCACTTATGAAACTCAGATTGTCGAGGCCGATGAATTTGATCAACCGTTGGAGACCTACTCATATTGCTCATGGAACAACTCACTCCGCTATGTAATTCCTCTAGCGGTGGTGAACCTGATAAGTGTCATTGTTGCGATTGTAGAAGTATGGAAAGCAAGACAAATTGCCACCGAATTTTCCGAATCGCAATATATTTTCAGAGCACTGATATATATGGTGGTGGTCTTCTTTATTGGTGGACCTATCATATTTATTGCAAGCGACAATCCGAATGCATTGGCATTTGTATCAAGTGGAATCATTTTTGTCGCGACTTGTGGCATACTACTGCTGATGTTCATCCCAAAAATTATTTACCAGCGGAAGCGATATCTGATGAAGAAAAAAGGAACGAACAAAAACAGATATTCGTTTAGCTTGGGTCCCAGCTTAACGGATTCTAATGCCCTCGAATCCGACTATTACAATACCGGAGGTGAGAAGATCTTGACCACTAAAACGCAAAAGGAGCTCTCCGAAGAAGTAAAGATGTTGAAACGTCTTTTGAAAGAAGCCAGGGGGACCAAAAAAAACGAATCCGAAAGGACACCATGTGATCAGTTTCAAGTTGTTGAAGGAGAAAACGGAAATAGCGGTGATGATATCGTAGAAAGTGAGGATATTTGACAATCCCTTGACTCATGGTAATTCGGAAATACTTCACCGAAAGCGTCCACAGAATCATATTGTCATGGGTGAAAGATAAGAGGAGATCGCAGACGAGCACATAAAAACTGGAACCTGCAATTGACTAAGTGTCATCACACAAGAAGTCAATGCTAGTACCGGTTCTGTAGCTTGGTTTAGAAAACACAAGTGTTGTATTTTGAAAATTCTTTTGTCTGTACGCAGCTTAATCTAAATTTTACTTGGTTGTGCTAGCGTTATGGTATGAGTTGAGCTCCTTAGAAAATTGCTGCGCAATAATACCAAATTCATTATATCCATGCGTTTTACTCTCGAATAATTTGTTTCTCATTAACGAAGAACCAGTTCTCGTCAAATTGCTTAACAATTTCCTGCGTGTAAGCTTTCGTCTCAATCGATTTATACAAATCTCCTTTTCCCTCCTTTCCCAAGATGTCTGTCAAGGCATTTGTTCCTGCTTCGAGATTATAGTGTGGTACCCTCTCAAAAAATAAGTGATGCATGACATGCCCATCCATCATGTGATGTGACAATCTATTTGTCCACTTGCCGTACGACCGGTCAACTGTTTCAAAGGCGCCTTTCACGAAGGTGTATGTTTCATCGGTGTAAAGTTTTCCATCGTCGCTGTGATGTTGCAAGTAAGTCACCATGAACAACCAAAAGGACATCACTACCCAAGGGACCATGCAGACGACAGTGAAATCAGCAAAACCCATGTTCGCCCATAGTGCTCCAGCCGTCGCTATCGACAGCAGAGATGACCCAACACCACGTAATTTTGTTGATAGTTTCTGGCCTTCCCAGAGTCGTCCATAAAAAGGGATCACGTGTCCACCATCAGGTACTCCCACGGCTAGGTAAACAAAATACAGAAAGGGAAGATGGAAATTTCTAGTTGCGTAAGATGCCTTCACCCAAGTTTCCAATTCATCTCTTTTTTCCCTTACAAACCATTGATGGCTGTAGTCCCGTTCCAAATGATTGTGAAAGGTGTGATGTCTACGATGACTCAGTTGCCATGGCACGAAAGGTGTCAAACAAAAGATGGAGTGCGAAATTTCACCAACAACCGAGTTCAACCATTTGTATTCTTTCGAAATCAACGAATGACCGGCATCGTGACCAATGCACCATTGACACCACATCGCAAAACCAGCTAAAATCTGAAGTGGTGCAACGGTAATGGCCTGCTGCCAAAGCGCCAACGACCGATATACCTCTGAGGTCACAACGGCGTATAGAAATCCGATGCTTGCGATACACGCAGCTGTGTCGACAGCAAAATAAAAAAGAGATTTCGCAGTACTAACGTGAAAAATCTTCTCGGGAAGTGCCTTCATTAGAGATCCGAGTTTAGGGTAACCTTCCTTGTCGTATGAAAGCAAGCGATCATTGAAATCCCCTTCCTTCAATGGAGATGGCGGTTGCTTCGTCTTGACTGCTGTTTCATCCAGCGCAATAGGAGGGGGTACCATGCCGGTTGCGACGTTGAGCGCCACATTTCTAACCAGACTTGATCCATTTGTGTGCTGCACGGCAAACGGGTGAGCTGTGTCGATTTTTGTTGAAGCAACTAGCAGCATCAACAGCAATATTTGCGACGAACCATAGCTAGTAGGACACTTCATGTTTCGGACGAAGTATTGAGGAATAGAAATCTAAATGATATATATTTTGCGACCGAATAGCACGCATGCGAAACCAGTAGAATGCACCTCCGACGAAATGTCGTATTAATACTCAGTGCATGAACTTCAAAAACACCGGTGCGAGTCATCTCGTACGTACCTTCGTCGGAAGACGTAAATATCATCATGATTCGTAAGTTCACATAAAATTCTTACTCACGAGCTTCGAGATACATGCGTGGTTGTAATTCTTTTCCCTTTTCCTCTGCCGCAATGTCGATCAAAGGTAATACCGGTACGATCTTCAACCTACCGTACTGTAAATGAGAAGAACATTGTTCGCCCATCTTGCGTGTTTGGCACGTCTCATTTTAAATTTTTTGTGGACGTGATAAAATTTGTGAATACGTGGTGATCGACAAGCGCTTAAATTTGCGACCAAAATCTATGAATCGAATGAATCGATTTTCGATTTTATTGTATTTCATGAAGTAAATTTTTCGCCGCTTTTTGCTCGGGAACCTAGGTCGTGTACGTAATACGTACGGCATGGCATGCACCATCTACGTGAGTGTATTTAGATGATATGATAAATAAGATTATTTTAGGAGGTGAGAGAATGTGAATCTGTTGGGTTGGACTTCTGGAGCTCCAACCTGGGACTTAATCTGGAACATCCAAAGGTACTGGCTGGCTTGGTGTTCTTGTTAACTATGCTTTTTGGTCTCACGCACCAATCACCAGCGTGCTCATCGGACCAATACTCGTTGCATGGCAGCACCAATCACCGGCGTGCTCATGGGACCGATACTTGTTGCATGACAGGGGTCCTCATAATTAATAATTACTGAATTTAGAATTTAGACCCCTTTACTGTTGTACAGTAGCAGGTACAAGTACTAGTATGTATTGTACGTATCTTTCCAGACAGTTGAAAAAAAAACTCCATAAAAATACTTATGATACTGGATTGTGATAGTATGTACTATATGTAGATACCGTACGTACGTCACAAGTGGCTCCTTTTGAGGCTACTGCTAATTATGGTAAGTATGGTAATTGGGTCATTCCCAAAAACATCTGCGATGATGTATCAAGGTATGTAATCGGGAATCACTTTCAGTGGTACTGAAGGCTCAGCAGGCTGGCTCAAATTACATATTTTCCCCCCATTTTTGGAATTTGGAATCCTGTATCATAATTGTGCTCTAATTTGACAAGATTCCAGTGACATGAACAATTTGGGATTTACACTAAACCAGCTCTATCTCCAAAACCATGGAAACTGAATCCTCCTCTGAACCAACAAAAACAGTCAAGAATATCCTCCTCCAAAACAACAAAAACAGTCCATATCCTCTCTATTTGGCTATTGAGTGCTCCTTCACAGCAAAATGTCCTTTGAGTTCATTTTAATTGCATGGACAGCTCTCCAGCAGCAGCAACAACAACAACAACAACAACAACAACAACAACAGGAGGAGGAGACCCGTCATTGACTATCCCTTGATGACAGGTGCCAATGAGACAGAATGATGCCAAGGATTGCACTCATGAAAGTGAATTCTTCTCCATTCATCCATTTGTTTGCTTCTGGTGACAACCAGACTCTTCTAAAGTGCTGTGGTGTCAACCGTGGTGTCTTTAAGGACCTCCTCTCCATTTTTGAGCCAGTGTTAGATAGATACACTGTGGACAGATACACTGAGCAAATCACCAAGAGAGGCAAACCCAAGGGCAACAAAGCAAGAGCAATAACCTCAACTAAACTATGCGATACACCATGTTATTTGAGTTCCTTGCCCACTAATAGCGCCATGTTATTTTGTGCTGCCAGTTTTTATGGGTACCTTCCCACAAAAAAATGGGACCAATAACAGAGAGGGAACGCGTTGCACATGGAAGGAATCCCACACCATTGCTGGCACGCTTTGGTTCACAAAGAGGTAATGCTTTGCACATGGAAGCAATCCCACATGTTTGCTTCAATTTTGATTTACTCCAAGTACCCCGTAGACTTGATTTAGAAGCAGTATACTGCAGTGTTATTCAGTATGTTATTCAGTACTCATAAATCGCAAATAGAGCAAATAACAAACAGTAGCAAGAAGAGCAATCAGCAATCAGCAAACAGTAGGTTAATCTAGTAATCATAATTAGTATTTAACCATGGGATTAGACAGAATTGTCATCTGAGGAAGAGGAGGATGCTGAGGACAAGTCCTCCTTGTGCTGTCTCTTCTTCCTCTTCCTCTGACAACCAGCACCACCACCAGCAGGGATGAAAGCACTGGCAAGGACACAGACCATATCTTTGATTTTGATTTCTGTCAAGGTATGCTGATACCATTGAATTGATGCTTCTTGGTGAGCTTTTTGCTGTTACATCGATGTTTCTTGTAAGGCTTGTTGCGTAATAGCAAGCAATTCCTGGTGCTTCATGGACATCCTGAACATGGATGGGATATTGGTGTTGGTGCTGCTGATGCTGGAGCAACTGGAGGCTCTTGAGTGGTATGCTCTCTTGAGGGGAGACTGAGAAGTGCTCTGAGGAACAGAAACAGTTGATGCTTGCTGAGTCAATGGGGTTGTCTGCTGAGTCACTTTGGTTAATGCTTGAGTGGATTGAGTTGCTCAAGCAAGCTGCACCATCTGAGTTGCAGCAATCTGAGTCGGTGTCTCAAGCCAAGGAGTGAGGAGCTTGGTTTCTTGGATAACTTGTGAAGGCTTCTTGGATAAGTTGTGAAGGCTGTTGAAGAGGAGGAGGACTTTCAACCTTGTTGTTATCCTCAATGTTCTCATTGTTGACGTTATCTGCTAGAACAATACTGGTGTAATCCTCACTAATCTTGTATCCTTCTTCCAGATCAAACTCCTCTTCTCCATCTTCAATGGCCACCATGGCACCAATCAATGGCTTGACCTCCTTTGCAAGCTTGATTGCTGGAGACATGTGTGGATTCCCAGTAGGAATCTATTTCCTGTGAAGGGAGGCGTACTTCCTGGTGATGGATTCCTTGTCTCTTCCAGTCTTCCAGTTCTCTTCATGGGTATCAACAACATTCGCCAATTGTTCTGGTCCAATAGGAAGGATCCTCCTCATGGTCGTCAGCATGTATATGGTCTCTCTAAGGGTGTAGTTGATGGTACCATGAGTCCTCCCTCCTCTTTCTTGAGCCAGCACTGTTGCTGCTTCTGCTGGAGCTGGAGCTGGAGCCATGATCCTTCTGTTCTTTTTCTTATGAGCCAAAGAGGAGGGCATGCTAATCACATACAGGATCTTGTGGTCTTCCTCTCTGCTGTAGTATTCCCTGTCATGAAGATGGTGCTGGCGCTCTTCCCTCCTCTTAGCAAGCTCTTGCATCCTCCGCAACAGAAGAATCTGGATGCTTGTGTTGCAATTAACTAGTAGAGGGCTCCACCGGCCAGTCATCATCAGCATGGTAAGCACGCTCCTCTTGCTGTTCGGTGATGTGTTTGTCTTTGTTGAGTGTTGAGTGTGGTGTTCTCCTGCCTGTGTTCTGTTCTTGTTGAGGAGGGGAAGCAAAGATATGATTTTCTTTTCTTAGTAGCTAGTAAGAAGAACAAGGAAGATCATGATCAAAAATCGGTTTGGCACCAAGTGACTCCTGTCTGTAGCAGCGCGCCCGCTGACCAGACTGAATACCTTCAGTCGAGGATTCCAATAAAAAATATGTCCATACATAAGTCTTGGTTGTCATGGGCCAAGACGACCAAAATTTACGTATTTAATAGACATATCAATGTTTTTGGGAATGACCCATTCGTAGTATTTAATTTAATACTCGTATTAGTAGTACCTACTGGTACATACGAGTACTCGTACGCCGCTTTTGTGATTGAAGTACCGTATGAAACCGAGCACAGCAAGACCGTACAGGTATGCGCTACGTACCGTGGCTGGGTCGGGGACCCCTGCCCTAGGGTAAGGTAGTACTGCTAAGGTACTAGTATGTTCGTCGGAAGCAACAAACAAATTATGTATGTGCTGTAGTAGTACAGAAACAAGATGTTAGGTGCGAACGAGTAGCTTTCAATGGGTGAAGCTCAAATCCTTGTAACGATGCTACAACCTACTGTGTAGTATTGTATTCTTCCGAAACATGATGGAAGGGGCGTTCTTTTTTCTCCTTCTCTGCCTGAAGACGCTAACAGTACCTGTAGAATCCTTTCCGGCTTCGTCCTTGTCACATACGAAGATATCTGCGGATGTGACTATCAGGAGGGAAACAAAAATCTATCGAGCAAAAGCGAATGATGATGACGTCGATCAAAGCACCGATTCTTCTTCATTAATACCAACTGAAGCGGTTGAATTTGATTGGAAAGCAATTGCAAATCACGTCTTTGATGAATCGGTCGAATCTGCTGAGACCCTTCACTCAAAGCCCATCATTTTGTTCGATGGAGTTTGTAACCTTTGCAATGGAGGTGTCAATTACGCAATCGATCACGATAAAAACGGGAAATTTCGGTTTGCGTCCCTTCAGTCCAATGTCGCAAAATCTTTATTGCTACGAGACGGAAAAGATCCATTCACAACGTCGGATGTTGTGCTCGTTACCGCAGAAAAGAATTATTATTCCTCCGAGGCCGTCGCAAGAATAATGGCTTCCTTGGACTTGCCAGTATTGAAATTACTTGGTAATTTGGGACAAATTACGCCTTCTTTTGCCAGGAATTTCATATACAAAATAGTCTCTGGCAATCGTTTCGTTTTGGGCGAGAATGATTCCTGTCGGATGGATTTTGATGGGGAATACACGTGGAGATTTGTTTCCGACCCGCCAGAATCTATTAGTTCACTTACCGAAGAAGACAAGAACGCCGGAGAATAAATCTCTACAAGAGGAAAGGCAGCGAAAGATCGTACCCTTACACAAGGCATAGAAAGAAGGAAGCAGATTTGTTGTACATTTTCTAGGCTTTGAAACTTCATGTCTAAATCAGAAAAGGATGATTCTGTTGATCGTTGCTTCTTTTTCTGATTTGATTTCCATGGAACGACGAACCGGAGTTGCAGTCAACAGTCCATGTGGCATTTGGTTCACTCATCATTGAGTGCTCGCAAATCGTCTTCAGAGCACCTGCTTTAGAATTGAATCAGGCCAGGTGGTAAGGGAGCGCTACATCCGACAACAGAAGAAAAGTCAAGATGTCACGAAGACACACTGATATCATGTGTTGATTTTTCTGATGTTGTCCCTAGAAGATCTAAGATTTATGCCACATCAAATTTGAGAATTTATCGCGTGCAACGTTCTTGTTGGTATTCTCTTCAATACATCCCAGTTTTTAATGCGAAGGTTTACAGCTGCACGCTATATTGTCATCAAATCGCCACATACCGTGGTGAAATAATTGAGTATTTCGCGAAGACGTTTTCGTTAATCCGTAGAATAAAATTCAACAAAAACCTAAAGCAGATTGATCAAGAAGTCTGTTGTTTTCAGGAGAGTGCCCAGACCCTGATGTACATTGTTGAAATCTATGACTTCATTGTTTATTTACTGTCGTTCAATCTTGAAAGGAAAGTAATACTGGGACATTTCAACTTCAATTTTTGTTCAATTCGTTGAAAATATACCTTTTCTATCCAAAATTTCATTTCTGCCATGACCTTTTCTCTTTGTAAACACTTTTTCACAGTTGAATTTTATCGTTAACTGAGTACTACAAATGCCTAGTTTTTGTCTAAGAGGCAAAACTTGTCATGAAATGCACCAACTCAACAAAAAAAATGAATAATCTTCTCCTCCCCAAATAATTCAATAAAAGTATAACGTAAAATTGAAAATTGTACTGCCAAACACCCTTTTTGGACAAGTACTAGTCATGATAAGTTGAAGATCCTAACAATCAGTACGCAAGGAAGTAGTATGATTCAACAAATGATATGTTCCCAGCAGTGAGGAAGGGCGAAGTGGATATATTCAACAAACTCACAAGACAGGATTGAAAATGGAGATGCTATCTTTTTCTATCAGTTGCTGCTCCCAATTGCTCTAGATTCAAGGGAAGCTCAGCAGTATCAAATTGAACCAGAGAAGAACAACCATACTTGTTGCAACAAGGTCATGAGATGTGCTAAAGTGTAAATCTCTGATACCAAAGAAGGGGAAGGACACCAAATTAGGCCAGTTACACTACCTGAAGCAGTTCAGTTTGACAGCATCCTCTTTATGCACGATGGGACTTGTGGAGGAGCAAGTGAAAACATCAAGTTCAGATGGAATGCAAATGATCTTTCATTCAATGAGGATATTGCAAACACCATGACTCTTACCCAATGGCTCAAGACTAAAAGGAACTTGAAGCTTTGCAAGAACAATTTGGAAAAGCCATTTGCTGGGTCTCCAGCACATGGTGGTGGCAATGTTGCTTACAAGTTTGGCTTCATCTTCCACACCACTGTGGACAATACCAGCACCCAACTATTTCACAGTGAGGGCTGGCTTAGACCTTTGTATTGATGAGACTAGTAGTTGGCCTTACCAAGGTTTGGAGCCCCCCCCTTTGTCAACTATCTCAAAAGAAGATGATTGCTTGTTGTGGACAAGCAGTTGCCATGTCTGATCTCCTTGATAAGATCAGGCCTAGAGCTTGGAAGCACAGACATTGTGGATGGTGTAATAGTGAAGGTCCACCAAGGCATTCTTTTATGGGGCCTACTGAGGTGCACCACTTTGTTGAGAACTTTGTTCTTGGTAACATTGGCTCCTGAAAGATTTGGAAATCTCCTCCTCATATCACAGCTGATAATTAGAAATACTGCCAAGGCAATTCTCCAAGCTTCAACATTTATTCCTCTGAAGGTCATCATTGGCAGAAGCTGTATTACTATTCATCTCTTGAAACATTGGAGATCACATGACATTACAGGCAAGCTGCTTAGAACTATCCTCTGGTGGTGGTTTCAATGATTTCCAGGTCTCTCTACCCCTGTTCTTGAATTTCTCTCCATTGATATCCCATATGTTCCAGGAAAATTTTTGCATTGTGTTTGTAGATATCTGACCACTGTCAGTGGTACCATCACTGTTGACAATACAGGGCTTATACCGCCACTTGAGTGTGGTGATAGCACAATTATGGAACTTGCACTTGCCAGACTCACCAAAGTACTCAAGATTTCAAAAGTTAACCTACATACACTCCACCAGATTAATTGGGTCCAAATGTATCTCAAGGTTCAATGGCTCAATACATTGTGTCTTATGGAACAAACACATTGTCTCCCAGTCTCTTCTCCCACCACTGTTTGGAATCCTGCCATCCTTCCACTACATATCCATATCAGCCAAATCCAAAACAGAGCAGCTGGGATGCCTTTACTAAACTACTTCAAAGCATTTCCCAGGGTCCTGCTACCAGCAGGATTCTTAACACAGCTCATTAATTTGGCAATTGACATCCTTCTCCTCATGCTACCCATGGTGTATGGAGTGCTTATCTCTCTAATAACAATCACATTTGGACTTCACCACTTACAGGCCAATGGCTGTCCCATCCTATTGTTTTGACTCAAATTGGACCCCCACGAGCAACACCTTTCTCCAGAAAATATCCCAATGTTAAACACTTCCCAGTTTTCACGTGGACAACCGAGATTGAAAGTTTCCATCATGATCTACTAGCAAGTGTCTGCCTATTTCCTCACACTAACAAGCCTCCACCTAAAATACCCCACACATGGCCTGCCCTTGAATCCATGGCAACACCAGCTCCTCAAACATGTCTGATTTCAGACCAGCGTCTTGCAAGCACTGGATGTGCTTGCTTCAGGGACAACTCTTCTCATGGTTTTAGGTGGATCTTGTAAAGACGGTTCCATGTCCTTTGGATAGTATGTAGCTACCACAGCTTGGGATAGAATTGTGCATGAAGATGGCCCATGCTTTGGAATTGAAGGTTTTCTTTGCGCTGAAGTCACTGGCTTGTTATCTGCCAATGTTTTTGTTACTCTGCTTGCATCACATCATCAACACCATGCAACATCTCCACTGACCTCTCATATTTTCACAACAAGTCGAAGTTGTTCCAGTTTGGGGAATGAAATGGAAATTTTGGGAAATTTGACCAATGGTTGTTTGAACACTTTGCATTCTCAACATGAAGATCATCATCTTCCACCTTTGCACTCAATCTCTGATGATAGCACAGCCAGTTCCTCTCTGTCTTCCAGTACAACCTTATCCTCCACCCTGACACCTTACACAACACCTGTTACTTTTATCAGTGACAGCAAAGCCCTCATCACTACTAGAATCCAATTGTAGGTGAACTCTTTGGCACATGCAGTGGAGGGGGTGTAGTTACTTTCCCTCCTCGTCATAGTCCTATAAACCTCAAGGAACCACTTGTTGTGCCTATCTGTGACCTTCATCCTTGGAAGGAGCAGAGGCTTTGCAAACCTAGTCCCAAAATTAAAGAGAACCCAATTCCTCCGAGCAAGAAAACTAAAAAATTCAGTTGTTTTTGTCATTGTTGGTCATTTGAAAATGAAAGTGAACCCAATTCATCTCAAGATTGACAAATTTGCAATGTGTAATCTGAATAAGAGACTGGCCACAATAATGAAAGTGAATGCCACTCTTAAGAGTTGACAGTATCAGTTGTCTTCCATAAACCATGAAGTCAGAATTGGAAAAATCCAAGACTAGCTAGTACTAGTAGAGAAAAAATTGTGTTGGGTAAGGTAAATTTTGTGATGAAAAAGTTGTGTATCCAAAAACAGTAGTACTAGGAACCAAAATAATACTCAAAACATTCCAAAAATGTTAGTGTGGCAAAACATAAAAGATACCAAAAAAGACTGAGAATTAGTAGCCCTAGATTTTGTAAATATTAAAAACATAGGAGTAATTATGCATCCATATTATTGTAAAGCTACAAGGAAGGTACAATTATCATCATTATTTACTAGTACTAGTACTTGTTCACCAACTACTACTGTTGCATATCCAATTAAATACATGCATGCATGATCTAACACCCAAAACAACTACTGAGTTCTTGAGAAGAATTAAAGTTCTTTGTTCCTCTTTGAACGATGTTGATAACAAGTATAATCTGCTTCAGCCATCTCAATCTATTTCAGATCAACCTGCTTCTCAAACCACTCCAAGTATTTACACTGAGGCAGATCATTATAGACTGTCTTGCCTCGAATTTTCTTGGTAAAGGAAAAGTGCTCAGAAGACATGTATTGTCCAAGTTTACATGTTAGAATCATGATCAAGGTTGACCTCTGCGCCATTGTTGAATTGAGGCAAATAAGCTCTACTTCCTTGGTGACCATGAGGGCAGGCATGTTAACATCCTCAGCATCACTGGCACTACTAGCATCTTTTTCATGTAGCTAAATGGCAGTATGTTTCAAATTATTTTCATTGGTCCATTTAACAAACTTGTAGTGACATACTCATTTCCCTCCAGGGCTTCTTTCTGGGCTCCTTTGAAAGGCTCCAACACAAGCATTCTATCATTCAGGTGCTTCATCACCTGTACATTTCTTCACCTGTTCCATTGTAGACCCCAAATGCATTGCTTCTACACTACTGTTGGTTAGAGATAAACCAGAAGGTCATGTACATCATAATTCACCAGTCAAAATATTGTCAAGAACACCAACAGGGTTCTTTGTTTTGTAGTTTTCAACATCTAATTCCCAAGCCCTCTTAGGGAGCTTTTCTTTGGCATGGGTTTAATGACCAAAATGGTGAATGTATGCTGTTGGTTTTTCATAGCTCTCAGTACAAAGAGCACTAAATGCTTCTTCTGTATTTTTGGTATTGTGAGCATTTGTAAGTGTTATGTATTTCAGCATGGTCAACACAACAAATATGATGAGTACCCAGCTGTTCCTCCAGCAACATCCCAAGAGAATTCATGTTAACAGCAACATAAGTCTCTCCCTGCTCCTCCTTTGTGTAAAAGCAAAGCAATCTCAAAGCACATAGCCCACCAAGTCTCATCAATAAAATGAACAGTGACACCACCAGTGTAGTTCTGATTTGCCTCAAATGTCCAGTGATCAAGGGTAACTGATATAGCCTGTTATTCCAGTTCTTCAACCATTCTTCCATCCCTTAAATATGCAAGGTGGAATATCATTCATTGAATCTTCTTTTGGCCTATTGGTGTTGTGTGATAGTTATGCCACTGAATTAGGTCACAGAAAGTTTTTGTTTCCATAGCACTGAAGGGAAAAACTTACTGTCACCAGGTTTTCTCCATCTCCTTTCATTCTTACAAATTGACTCTGTTAAGAAGTCTGGTAGGCCTTTTGTTTTTTGATATCACCATGTGCCTGGGTAACATTCAATTCTTCCATGATCAAAAAATCAACACTCTTCTTGCCATGTGTTTTGTAGGCAAGAAGTGGTGGTTCATCATGCTTGCAAAATATTGGTTTGTAACACTTCCATTACAAATAGTTTGGGTTCTCCCTTTGCCATACATGTTACAGCATACAAATGCTGGAGTATTCACACATGCTTTGGGTTCCCTGGTCTTTTGTAAATCTGATATTGTAGCAACAGAATCTTTCAATAGTTCTTAGATGTCAGCATGATAAAACAAAAGATAGCTTCAAGTTTGGGGTTTGGCATCAACCAGTAAACAACTGTGTTTGTACTGTTGGGAAAAGATGAGACATCATCATTGGTGTATTATGGCTTCATTGATGGTTCTTACTTGTAGTATTTTGCACCAACAAGCCTTGGCAGAGATGTTCTGGACATATTGCCACTAGCAAGAAGATATTCATTACTAGAAACAGGTATGATGACCTGATTCCGCACCACCTTGGTCAGCACTTTATTATTGTTTTGAATGCTTTTTCAGCAGTAGAGCTTGTAATCAAACTTACAGCCACATTGTGTATCACAGAATCCCCATGTTATGAGCAACACAAAGTCCTTAGTTTGTTGCTACTAGTTGTAGCTACTAGTATTTGGTCAGGTCTGTTTTGGATGATTCAAGATCTGCTTCGTGGAGGATTGATGTGATTGACAAGGTTTACATGGTCTATGCCTACCCTGTCTAATGTGATTATGAATTGTAACAAGAAAAGGAATAGTGATGGGACCCTGCTGCAGCTTGCACAATAGAGATTGTGGATTTCAATACTGCTCCTACTCCTGCTCTCAATGCTCCATCAAACAGCTCCAGATGCAGCACCAGGGATCCTACTAGTACTACTACTTTTATGATGTTTGTTGTTAAAAATGAATAATCTGTCTTTTGTCAAGAAGGTACTGCTAATTTATTTGTAATGTTGGGGTGCCATGGTCTACAACCACATGGTGGGTTCTGTTGAAAACAAAATCTGTTTGTAATGAGAAGAAGAATGGCACCTCCTCCTCCAATTAGTAGTTCTACTAGTAGTACTATGAGGAGTAAAAATGCCCAAGAAGATAGTAGTAGATCACAACAACAACAAATAAACAAATTTCACTCAAATTTTAGAAATAACAATTGCAACAAATACGTACGTATCGAAAGTATACGTACGATAAGAAGCTTCGAAGAAAGGAATGAAGAAACATACCATTCCTACGTACCTATTGTAAGGTACTGTTTATATGTATGTATCATAGGATCCATCGTAAGAGGTCCAAGGATCGTAAGAGGTCTGTGATATCAGAAATAGATGATCTCGTTCCGACGTGAGCTTTCAGTAGCTCTGATTAGATCCTGTGTAGCTCTCGGTATTGAATCTACACAGGATTCTTATTATTCTGATCTACTTACATCTTTGTTCTTTGCGAGGTAATCTATTTCTGATATCACAAACCTCTTACGATCCTTGGACCTCTTACGATCCTCGGACCTCTTACGATGGATCCTATGATACATACATATAAACAATACGACATCTTTGTTCTTTGCGAGGTAATCTATTTCTGATATCACAGACCTCTTACGATCCTCGGACCTCTTACGATCCTTGGACCTCTTACGATCCTCGGACCTCTTACGATCCTCGGACCTCTTACGATCCTTGGACCTCTTACGATCCTCGGACCTCTTACGATCCTCGGACCTCTTACGATGGATCCTATGATACATACATATAAACAGTACCTTACGATAGGTACGTAGGAATGGTATGTTTCTTCATTCCTTTCTTCGAAGCTTCTTATCGTACGTACTATACTTTCGATACGTACGTATTTGTTGCAACAATCAGCCAGATTAGGTTCATTAATATTATTTAATTTCCTTCTAAGCAATTCTTTTAATACTAGTACTGTATTCCACTTTGGTCATTAGTAGTACCAAAAACTTAGCCTGTTAGCCTGTTAGCGAGCCAATCATGGAAGTCGAATAGAATATAAAAAGTACAAAAATAGTCTTCGACTGGAATTGTCCTTCTGGAATAAGGGAGTTTGAGGGGGAGAAAAATGTAAAAACATGGTATCAACAAATTTTTAATGTAGAGCATGTACTAGGTTGAACACATTTTTTTTCTGTAAAAATATAAAGTTACGGAAATGAGATGGTGGTGGTACGAGACGAGTTTGCTGATATCCTTGTAGTATGATGATAGAGGTCGGAAATCCCATTACACTCAACTTTCGACTTCCCCTGCCTGCGCACCGCAAAAGACATAATTGCTCATTCACTATCTAGTCGTGATTTAAATGATTTGCGTGTTTTCTGGCTCACAAACCCAACAAGAATCAAGATACCGTACCGTACGTACAGGTACGGTAGCCTCCCCAACTTGGTTCCTTCCAAGAACCAATGCGGCAATTGACCAACCCAACAAGAATTGAAATCCAGTTATGTAATGTACTGTACTCATTTTGAACTTCATGTCCCCCATTTGGGAAACGAGAATGAAAAAGTAATCACAAAGATTCCTCAGATTAAACAATCGCTTGATCAGGACAAGGATTAGTGGGGCGGTGAAGCTGTAGCAATCGTTCTGAACAGTGCAGAGCCGGCTCTGGAACAATCAGCACAAGTAATCACGCTTCTAACAATACAATGCAGCCCGCAATCAATACCGATCAATTGGATTCGTACGACCTACATGACGAACCCCACCAGGACCCACGCACCAGGGATAACAGGATTAGGTTTCTGAACCAACCTATTCAACCGAGATCCTCACCGTTGGGTCATAATACTCACTATCGACGATTTTCTGGACGACCAAGCGTGAAGGATACGACGCGATGGGATATTTCGCAACGGAGCTTACTCGAGGGTGGTATCACGCCAAGCAATGATTCTTCTTCGAGCCATTCGTACGGTCGTTCCCCACAAAATAGCCAAAAGACACATTCCTCGAAAGATGCCCAAGATCCCTCCAATCACAGTCATTCCCCACATATCTCCCTTCCAGATGATTTAAAAGATCAATCTGACAATGTCCAAATCTTCTTCGTAAGTTTCGAAGCTGAGTATAACCTGATTGGCCATGGTCATTAGTTTTCATATGCTGTGGGATGTGTCCCATTTTGTTATGCTCATTTGTGTCTTTACTTGTTCATTCGCAACGAAAATACATTTGCGCTGAAAGTCCAATATTTTGACACCTTCGTCCTTCATCATAGGGGTCTCCTTCAGTGAATTATTCAACACGAAGTATAGGGACGATGACGAAAGCGACATTCAGAGGTTGCTCCAAGGCATATGTCTTGTCTGCCAGGGAGTGGTCTTCGCCTTGAATCTTTGCGTTATGATGTTGTCATCATCCGCCTTAGTTCGACACTTAACTGGGAACTTTAATCCTTACGCTACAAATGGATACGAGTTGCTCTTTCGCGAATTTCATTTTGAGTTTTTATACGTCCGATGGTGTTTTGACACGGCCTTGTTTGGTTTCTTGTTGGCAGTTGCGTGTAAAATTTTACACGACTTTCGGCTCTTTGATATCAACGGGGATGACTTTGAACGTTGGCATTTAGAACTAGGGATAGCAGTCGTCCTTATCACAACGGCCCTCACTCTCCATTTGTTGGCGTACCAAAATTCCACGCTGATAGGCTGGGATAACATGGCGGGTATGACAAGAGATTTAATGAAAGTGCTATTCCATCGTGGGTTCTATAGCGGTAACCTAACGGAAGGATTTTCCTTGGTTATTTTTGCAGCTGGTGTTTTCTTTTTGATTTTGGGATTAATACCTGGATCGCAAATATGAGAAAAAGCGCTTTCGAATAATTCTCAAATTCATGCTATGAAAAGGATGAGTGTGCCTCAACAAATACAGAGAGAATAATCAATTTGATAGCTTTGTTACGTGAGTTTTCTAATTCAATTATACTGTATCATTCATGACGTAAAGCAACGTGCACATTTAAAATGCACCACAAAGAAATAATGTTATTATAAAATTAGACTGTGCATTGAACTGCCAAATTATTTACACAGGAAGAGTCGTGTGAAAATATCTATTGGAAACATGTTGTACGCGATGAGCAAGATAACGTATGACAATTCCGTCAATCAACGACGCTACCTTTGGATGATCGTCCTTCAGTTTTCGCCACGAGTCGATATTCAAGCTGTATAAAACTGCGGTTGGAGATGAGCATGCTAGCGTCGTCAGCCGACTGGTGCCGTGGACCAATCCAAGCTCTCCTACAAAAGACCCAGTCTTCACAATTTCTGAGGCGCCAGTCTCATCAACCAGGGACAGCAGTTCTCCACTAACAACTACTTTCAGAGAATTACTATCGGCTCCCTGGTCCCAAAGAATGTCACTTCTATGGTATTCTTCTCGAGCCATCATGGAAACAATCATATCGGCACTCTGTTCCTTGAAAGCTTCAGAAGAATCATCCATGAGGATGTTTCGAAGAAACATTTTTGCTCGAGAACGCTCTTCGTGCAAAGTCATTTTACAATCTGGTGCGTCATTTAGTAAATGCTTTTTCGATAGATATCCACGACCACCATCTTGGCGGCAGATCAACATGTCCTCCGCAAAGTGCAGAGCTTCGTCTAAGCTTTCACAGACGCGACTTTCCATTCGAGTGGTCAATGTATCGGTTGACTTTCTCGAATCCGTGTTTGAAGAAACGGAAATTGTACCTCTGAAGGATAGATTTGAGATTCCCTGTGGAGTCAATAATTGAAAGTCATTTATGCTAATTTCATCCTGCTCGTTTGGTTTGGATGTAGATGTCGATGCGTCCAACACCTGTTGTTCTAAGCATCCAACATTTTTAGGGCTTTCAGAGAGTGCTTTACTCAAGGCAAATTCGCAAGGAAATCCACCTCGGTCGCTTCCTGTACAAAAGACAGATATTTCTACATGGTACAATCTGTGCAGAAGTTTCTTCAGCTTTGCAACAGAATGTGCCGCAGATGAGTCCATTCCCAAGACAAGAGTAAAGTCCACGATCACTACAATTGGTAAATCTCCCTCATCTGCTTTCTCCTTCAAAATATCCTTAATGGTGTCGGTCAGCAAAGCAATATTTCCAAAAAATAACTGGAGAAAGTATTCAAAAGTGTGCTGCATGTGAGGATGAGGATGAAAAATCATAGTTGATTTAAACACAAAGAGATGACAGGTAGATCATTTCTCTGTGCTTCAGTAGCTGCGACTTACGTGTCCCTGTAGCTGAAATATGAGAATCCTAGAACGGCCGGTCTTACTGTTGGACAAAATAGATCGAGCTTGGGAACAACGAGTCCACTCACTGCTTCGTAAGGACGTTGCAGTCAGAATTTGTCGAATGGGATCATGATAGTTGATGGATTGCGCTGCATATGTGGATAGAGCTGTTATGACACCCGCAATCAAGGCGGCGGTCATTCCCCATACCGTCATGACTATGGTAAGGAGCCAAATACCGGCATACTCAAAGTTATCGAATTGGCCAATAGAATCATAAACGCCCTCTAGTGTGAGATCGACTCCCATGTGTAGTAACAGCGTTCCAGCCATGCATCGTGGTAAGTAATTTGTTATGGAGGGACCGACTACAAACAAAGCCATTGTCACCACAACGATTGTCAAGGAGCCAATGCGTCCTTTGCCGCCTATCTTCGCGTATAACACAGAGTTGCTGTACGTCATGTAATTCTGCAATCCGCCAAACAAACCGCTCAACCCATTGGACCAACCGTGGGCGATCAACTCGGCGTCCATGTCTGTTTCAACATCAGTTGAAATGGCAAATGCTGGGATGTTGATGGGAACATGGATAAGACTAACTACTGGGTGAGGGGACGGTGATCGAGCGTGGCGATTACGATAAGAAAAATGGAAACACGATTTATTCAGTGCGTCATTCGCGATACATACCTAAATGCTGCCAAGGCAACCACCGTTCCCATCGACTCCGCTACAGCCATCCACGATATCGCAGAGAAATCAATAATGTGAAAAATATCCCACAGATTCGGATCAGTGAAAAAATTCGTTGAGCCTTCCTCGTGCGAAGAAGAATCCACGGCAGGAAAGAAGTAGCCAGCATCTCGACCTTCTTCGATCGACATGCCAAACACAAATTGCATCCCGATATAAAATACAGGTGTAATGAGGATGTAAAAGATCGGGGACAACAATTGAAATTTCGGTCGTCCCGTTGCTGGATCCTTCGTGGAATGCATGAGAAACCTGAGAGACACTTCGAAGGCGACAACGACCCAAAGGAGATACCATCGGTCGACGATTGTGTTCTGAATAGAAGCCCGGGGCTTTTTGATGTCGAAGGTTGTATCCGTGGAAACCTCCATAGCGGTAAGAATCATGAAAAGACCAATACCTCCAATGCACCCAACGAGGACATGATTAGGGAAAAAGTACACTATCTTTCCTAGTTTGAGCTTTCCCAATCCATAGAAGACTAAACCCACAATGACCGAACTCAGCCCAAAAAGGAAGAATAACGTAGAGAGCGCGTCTTTTCCGTATCCCTGGTGCTGGATGACTGTTTTTGCCAAAGCGTGCATAAACGGTATATTTTCAACCATTTGCAATCCGACAGCATTGACGAATTTCGATTTGTATGTGTACACCAATTGTGCTATGATGGTGGCCAGCATGAACATTCTCAAACCGAGGTTTTGCTTCCCCGCCAATGGAAAGGGTCCATCAATGCCGTCGGCGTCGTCGTCGTCGTCGCTACCGGACGCTCCGTGCTCTGCCTCCGCTGCTCTCCACCCAATGGGAAAATAGCTGGCACCAAAAGGGATTGCCATCATCATGTTCAAGAGAGCAACGACCGCTACTGCCGATACCTGTTCAATCAAGATTGAAAGCCGAGAGGGCGTCGGAACCCCGGATCCACTCCGTTCACTTCCAATGGTTTTCGAGTTACGTCCACCATCGTTCATTGATCCATAAGTCAGCTTGCCCGTCGTCATGATGTCGGGGTCTTCGTCGTTCAGTGCATTGCCAGAAAGAATAGAAACCATTTCTTCGTTCGATGCGTGAGAAATGTCGTCGATCGTGTGGTTCTTGGATTTCGTAGACGACGTCAACGAATGCGGATCTCTCACCGAGACATATCCACGGGGATCATAGACACTTCGTTTCGCACGACGATCGGCAACGGTGTTAACAAGTTCTCGGACGGCTCGACGCATCGCATTGGCACCCGCAAGTGAATCCCTCGCCGAGCTTCTAGGAGTCGCCGACGCAGGTGTCGATAGGCCCTTTATGTGCTCCTGGAAGTGCGAGTTGGCATCTTGGATCAACGTGATTGACCCTCGACGCGTAGCGCCACTACGCCGTCTCGTTTCAGAAGACTCCTTCATAATGAATCACAAAGTGTCGGTAAATAACAGGGGTCCAGCAAACGTCTCTATTCAATACATCGAACTAGTATCGCTGGATGGAAATAGAGAAGGGAAATAGAGAAGGCGGCAATACTGAAGAATGAACGCTACAGTATTGCAGTGCGATAATGGAACAACATAATACTACACCGTGTGGAATCTTATCGTACCGAGGACCGGTACGGTACGATAAGTACTTCTACGGATTTGAATGATGATTTTTATTGGTTCAGTAAGGTTTTCCCCGGGTTTCGTGGAAAGTTCGTTCCAGAATTGACAAAATAGCGAACCGGTCTCTCTTCTTCACTATCTTGTAGTTTTATGTGTACAATAGCTGGACATAAAGTTCAACCGCACCTTACGGTGTTCGTAGTTTCGCCAAGGAAAGATTTTTAAGAATACGCGCGAACAGTCGCGCGACAAAGATCGCACAGTACCTACTGTAACTCTAACCTGACTCGAGCTTGGTTTTTTGTTTCTCTGTACCGTAGATCTGATCAGAAACGATAGAAAACGAGGACTCGGTGCCATGATGTACCGGTACCAAATTTTTGCAACCGATATCTCAAAACGGTCGCAGGAAGGGAACAAACCTCAAGCTGGTTGTTCGATCAGCGAACTCTACATCACCGATCGTTTCTTGTTTCCGACTAGGAGTGCTTCCAGATCTTCCTCGGAGGCTTCGGAACTCGAAGTTTCTTCATAATCAAATTCGTCACTCATTGAACCGTCGTCAACAAGAGAATTGCCCTTCTCGTGGATTGATTGTGTCTCCTCTGATGCTGTTCCAGGGGGTTTCCTTTCCAATGCTGCMCCTGCCTCTTTTTGAGTAAGAGCCACGACCTGTTTGTGTTCTCCTTTACCAACGAAAAAGGACGAATTCTTCTTGGCATTGAAAAATACCTGGTTTCGGAGTATCGGAGATGTCATTCCAAATTTTTTCGCAAGCATCACATTGACATCTCGTCGATCCATCCAACCACATGGTTCGTCAAAGAGAAGATCGTACACATATTGCTCCTGTTCCAACGTGTCTAAGGGAGCGCCAATAAATTGCAACTTTGCATCGTCGAAATGTTGTGGTAGAGTAACAATGTTGAATTTATTGCCGGCAGTCCGCTCTTTACATATCTTGATTGCTTGTCTTTTCTCTGCGTCTAGGATCCATAATTTGCAAAACTTGAGAGAGGTTGACTCTTTTGGGTGACGCGAATTTACAAGTTTTGTGAGAATACTAATCGGACAATAGAGATCATCATAGGACGCAAGGAATTCAAGAGTTTCAAGGACAAGTTTAATTCCTCTGTCTTTGTTTGAGCGATCTGTGTGAACCCACTGCTTGCAATCGGTCGAGCAAACGAAATTGAACCTATCGTCTTGTATTGTGGAACGCTTGTCGACCAAAGCGAAACAAATTGGGCAATTCACCATTTGTTGATTAGTGGAAAATGAAAGATGCTGTCCCAGATCAACTATCATGCCATGTTGCAACCAAGTGTACTTTTGCACAGCATTAATGGCATGAGAGCGACTAAGAAACATGTACAAGAGCCATTCGGTGGTTGATTGTACATGTACTTTGACGGGAGGGGGTGTACCTAAAGGGCAGTGCATCTTTCGGAGGAAAATAACAAAAGGAAGAAGTTTTGCTCTCTCCATAATTTTTACAGAAAGCTCGTGATGTGGCACTGGACAAACGGAGGATAGTGGTGGTATTGGAACATCCCGTCGCATCCCCCCCGCATGGCAGGGCAGGCAAAGTGTCTTAAATTCGCGTTCACCGCGTTCGATCACAACTCCTTTCTCTATTACCTTCATAAGAAATGTCTTAATCGCGATCCTATTGGGAAAACGAGCCGGATTGGTTGACCGCAAAACGTTCCCAATTAATGATTTTTTGGGTGCCAGTGACCCCACCTTATGACTTTCTCGCGTCATCACGGAACGAAGCAACTCCACGTCGTCACTCCACTCCTCGTCAGCAGTCAATGGCTTGAACGGATTGGTAGAGACTTCATTAGACACTGCAGAGTCCCCATCGTCGGAATTGCATTGTAACTTCCTCCCACTCATTTCATAAATAGGTTGAAGAATGTCCGTTTCCCATCTCATCTTCACATCACAATTTACATGTAGCATGGACTGCATAGTACCTCTTGATACAACAATGGTTCTCCACTGTGGGCGCTGCAAGGTGGCTAGTAGATAAGCATAGTCTGCGTCACCTGTGATGAAGCAGAGGGTAGCTCCGAGAGGATGCTGGAAGGCAAACTGCATAGCATCTACAATAATCATTTTGTCTGCAACCTTTTCCTTACGCCCGTTGTAGGGACAATCAACGAGGTGACACCCCGAAAGCTGTAAATCCGAGCGTTTTTCTTGTGGAATATGATTAAGGCCAATGCTAGCGTAAGCGCGAAACTGGATCAAATCTCCCTGCTGGGATAAAATGGCTTTGAGGCTTGAAGTTATCTCTCTGCCAGTAGTTTCAGCGGGAATAGGCATATTCTCCAAATCCCAGAAAACTGCCATTGGTTCTTGACCCTTCCTTACTTCTGCTGAAGCAATATGGACAATATCACGTGCTGACAGAATCGGAATTCCTCCCGTTACCAAGTCTCCCACTATATCATCCTTGTTCTTGCGCTTGAAAGAATCCCAAGATGCACCTAGTTCAACTAAAGTTTCTCCCCACTCTTGAAAGCACGGGTGCTCTACAGTTTTTGCCCATTCTTCGAATGAATCCATGTTGACAGTACTTTTGTTGATTGTATTGGTGAATTACTGCTGGTAGCAAAACATAATTTATATAATGATTCTGGCAATAGGGAAAGTGAGACGATTTAAGTAGTTGATTGTCGATCGAATGGTGCCAGACGTCTTTGATTGGTGGAAACGCATATTTTCCTGGACAGCGTGGTACCTAAGAATCTTACGCTGTCGAAATTTTTCCTGCACCTGCTCTTTTGCCCAAACCAAGTGCTCGAATGAACTGATATGGAGATCATACTCACTGCACAAAACATTCTCCATCGTAAATTTTTTGAGTTTTCGTGAGAAGCACTTTTATGATACAACGGAAACGTTACCTCAGATTTTTCTACATGAAGCAGGTGACACAGAGTTCATGAAAAAATATACAGTTGTGTTCTTTTAACTTACTAAGCGAGCTCGCGATGACAAACACATTCTGTGAATCTGGTAATGAGAGTGGGCTCTAAGCTCTTACTCGTCTTTTGCGACCTGAAGTTTGTCAAATAAGATATTATATGAGCCAATACTCACATCTTCATTCAGTGTGATAAGAGGGGAGAGTATTAGTCGGATATATTGGTATCAAGTGAAAATACATTTTCAACATTATGTACGACTACGGTATCACTGCTGGTACCAATTTCAGACTGTACTAGACATAAATTTATTTTAATTTGTTTCAGTGAAATCGTCTCATGACATTGATTGGCGATATCTTGTGATTTAAAAAGCGATCTGTCCTGTCGCTTTCAGTATTTCATTCCAACTTCACACGAGCTCGACCTCGGACACATGAGGAGCTCTTGGGCTTGTGTACCCGGAAGTCCCCACCAGATTTGCTTTTTCTTGTTCTTCTAACTCAATCAGCCGTAGCCTCTGGCTTCGATTCTCTTTGTAGTACCAAAGAAAACCGGATAACATGACTAGAGTTATACTCAACCAAGCTACAACGTTAACCACAAAGGGGCTGTATGGAGTTGCGTTTTCATCGTCAATATTGCCACCGTTAGCCTCCAAATATTCGTCCCATGAAGTTTCGATGAAGATATTTATTCCCAGTAGAATAGCATCGAAGGTTCCATGCATGATCACTGCTGGAAGAATGATTCGACCAACACCAATTCGATGACCATTGACGTCTTGAGCCTCAACAAATTTTCGAATCATGTTGACGCTCTGCATTGCGGCCGCCAGGGCGTGTACGGGAAAAATTGAACGGAATAATAACACTATCCATTCCTGGAGATACCCATCCATAGCCGAAGATCCATCATCGCTTACGCCAGCACCCGTTCCGCCTAACAAGAAGACGTACAAGAAATTTTCGGCGCATGCTAGACCTACCGCCACGCTTATCATGGCCGTGGTGACGGCAGCAGCCTTTTGCCTATGTGTTCGAACATCTTGATCATCTTCCTCAAAGTCGTCCTCGTTTGGATCAAGACCAGTATTTCTCCCCGAGCTCTTGCTGCGGTGAGAGCTCCTCGAATAATGCGAAGCGTCGTCATCGTATGGATTCTTTGCGTTAGTCTGTTGGACTTGATGAGAACTGAATGGATATTTCACTACACCACCCTCGAGGGCGCGTTCGTCTTGAGTGTTCGAAACCAAACCCGTCAAAAAAATTAAATCGGGGTGCTCCACACAACGGAATGTGTAGTACTTACACAGCTCCTCTGTGACTGCGGCGACAATATATGCGTTGAAAATCTCAACGAGGATCCAAAAAACTTGATACTGCTGGGAAACCCACTCCACGAAGGTGTCTCCGCCCATGAATTGCCCCAGACCATAACCAAAATAGGCCGTGCTGAGAGTAATGTTGACCAAAAGTCCCTCGAAGAAAAAGGCAGAAGGAACAGCAATCACAAATCCTGCTGCGAAGAATTTGATAACAGCATCCAGACTTAGATCACTCTTGTGAAATATCCAATGAACAATCCATATGACCAAAAAGGATTGAAGGAATGTAGCAGATAGGATTATCACATCAGGCCACGAGAATGAAGCTAGAGGGTTCAAAAACAGAGTCGCGCCAATTATCACTGTTAATGAAATCGAAAGAACCAATATGTGTCGAGAAAGTCGGCTAAGCGCGTTGAAATGAGGCATAATGCCCGACTTTTTGCGCGTCTTTCCCATCCATCCCCGCCTCAGATCAATAACTTCCTTCTGATAGTCGTGAAACGGTTGGTGGGTTATGTAATCAACTCGTTGGAATCGCGTTGGTACCAAAAGGCGCATTTCTCTGGCCTCCTGTGCCAGAGCACAGATACTGAGACACTGAAACCAGCATCTACAGACGACTCCGCAGCACATGCCTAAAATACAGTTGAAACCTCGACCTACAAAATCTTCGTTGTGCGGTTTCTTCTTCCGTTGGCTGACACCATCGTCGTTGACCTGGACTTCGTCTTCGATCTCATCTCCTTCTCGTGGCGGATCTGTCGGGTAACATCCGCAAAGAGTATGGCTGCATGCACCCTCGTATTGATCTTCACGCGAATCTTGGAAGCCGACACGTTTGATACCGCTGCCCGACGAGGCATAGAAGAGGTGGTCTTCTTGTGCTCTGGCTCGAACAATATAGTACCTAGTCCTCATGCGACGGCGACGACCGAGAACTCCCAGTACGATCAAAAATGCAAAGATAAACGAAAGTCGTAGATCCGAAGCCACATCTCGCGACGACGAAGTCGCGGATAAGGAAGAGAAGTCATCGTTGGTGTTGTAGTTGTCGTCTGCATAATTCTCGAGATCACGTCGAAACATCCAATGATTATGACCAGATATTTCGTGGTTCTGTCGTCGATTTTGTCGTTGTCTCTCCACCTGTTGTTCCTGATAGGGGCGGTACCATTCATCGCTCAAAAAGTCGATCGCCGGCTCCCAAATTGACTCCTTCATGTCGCGAATCTTAAAAATTCCGTTCACACAATGCTTTTGCTGCTTTCGATCGCCAGGAGATCCTCCAAGCTGGCGTCTACCGTTGGCATCATCATCATCATCATCATCATCGTTGTTGTTGTTGTAATTGTAATCGCCGTTTGCGTTTGCATCGTCGCCGTTGTATCCTCCGTCGTCATTATTGTAGTTATTATAGTTCGCGTCGTCATTGGCATTGTCGTAGTTGTTGTTGTTTGCGCTACTGCTACTGCTGCCACCCTTATTGTACGAGCCATTGTTAAAGGCAAAGGGTTTCTTGTTATCCGAGTTGCTCCCGAACCCCCAAATGACAAAGGTGAACCCGATGAGGAGCAAGGTTAGCAGCAGTGCATACGCCACAATCCTACTAGGAAGCGTTTGTCGGTTGGCATTGCGTCCCCATTGGACGCCCCGGCGATCGTTTCGTAGTTGCAAGAGGAATTCCGTCCGATTCGAAAGAATAAGCCCGAAACACCCCATGCTAGCACACACTAGCGCTTCGTCCAAAAAAAGGTTCTTGATGCTGGTGGAAAACCCGCGATATCTCAAAATGGTGGTGCTTGGTATTTCTTCGTCCTCGTCGTCTCTTTTCGTGGAATGCCGCTTCGACTTCTTTTTGGACGAATGGCTGTATCGAGACGATTGCGATTGCGATCTCGACAAAGACCCGCTTCCATCAGTCAGAAACGACTCGTCCACGCCCGAGGTGTTGTATCCATCTCCGGTGGTGAACGTGTTTTTGGTCGATGCCGATCGAACCCGACTGCTCCGGCTCCGTTCGTCGAAGGAATCCTCCGAGTCGGAATCGTCGTCGGCATTCGAATAGAACAGGCGCGAATTGGTCCCGCTGGCAACGCTGCGACCGCCACTCATGCTATAGCCGGAACCGGCGCCCGGGTAGTGATTTTCGCTGCCACTGTTGTTGTTGGAGCGGTCACTCTTTCGCCCTTTCTTCTTGCCTCCGATGCCGAACCGCGACGATCGCTGTTTTTGTTGTTCTTGCTGTTGCGAAGCGGAGGAACCGAGCATTTGGATTCCGCTGCTGTGGTTGCTGTTGTTCGGGTCGTACGCGGAGGGGCTGTGGGCAGAACCGCCCGCCTCTACTGGCGGGGTGTAGATCCGGTGCTGGTGGTACTGCTGCTGGTGGCTCTGCGGGTGCGCCGAAGCTTCGTTCGTGTGCCGCTCGCCGCCGCTGCTTCCCCGCTTGAACGACTTCCGAAAGAGGCTCGAAATGTTTCCCGTAAGACCCGCTTTCGGGACGGGGGGAGGGGATGTCACGTAGGCGAACTCGCTGCCGTTGGCCTCTATGTGATCGGGGGGGGCTTGGTAATAGGTGTCGCCGGCGATTTGCTGCTGCTGCTGCTGTCGTAGCTTCTGCTTTCGGCCCCGGCTGCGGGACCGGGTCCGAGACCTAGACCTCCATCGCCTGCTTCCTTTGCTGCTGGCCCCGATTTCGCCGTCTCCTCCGCTCTGGCTAGACCTGCGAGGCATATTTCTTTGTTTCCGTATTTATTTCTCTATTGGTGAATGAATATGATTTGTGCTTTGCCAAACTCCAATTCATGAAGTTCAATGATAATGGCAACAAACTGCTTGTATTGTATTGTGATGGTATCGGGTACCTATTTGTTCTTTCTCTCGGTTCTGTTCTGCCCTGTCCTCACCCGCGCCTTAGAAGGGTTGCGATGGAGGATTGGGGAGGCGCGATCGAGGATGGACAAGGAAAGGATTGATCGACATAAATGCGGATCGATTTTTGAACGATGGAAGATAGTAATTGGTATCAGTATCAGTGTACCGTACAGAAATGCACTTGTACGTACTCGTTTGTACTCCGATCGGTCGGCACATACAATCATGTGAACGAAAGGATGCGAGACCTCTACGGCATGGTACAAGTAATCTTCGTATCGTAAAGGTCGGTGGGAGATGACCGATCTTTTTGTTAGGTCAAACCTTACCGGTACGTTCTGTACTGAACCAAACGTGCGGATGTAGGAATTAAAACTTTTGCCCCCAAAAAGAAAGAATGAAAATGAGCAAAGCTTCACGCGGGAACACACAAAAATTCATACTCGACCGCCCTCCTCGGTCAAAGCCGTTAAAATATGCGTTCGTGTTGGAATTTAGCGAGAACTCGCATACAGTACCGGGTCGTTCTATGGTTAGTATCTACTTAGAATATGTGTGATGGCTATGAGTATATTTTGAACGAGAGGTGGAGAACCAGACCGTTCGGCCGGTAACAACGGTTACATACCGTACCGTACGAACACTTATGTACGGCACCGTAGGATAGAGTACAGTACGAACTGTATGGACCTTTCTGCGTTGGCAGAGGTGAAGGTCATTTCGCTTTCCCCCTTCCGTTGTACCGGTACCTGGTACAGTACCGTACCGGTAGAAACATCTCTTCCGTTTCTACTATGAAAAGGGGGAATTTGAAGGCAACATAAAATACGATCACGTTTGAATAGTACTGTACGTACATGAATTGGACTTGGAAAAGGGGGTCTTATGATAATATCTAGGTAAGGTCCAGAGGGGTTCGCTTTCCAACCGTACCGTACCCCATATCGGTTGGGTTGATACCGTACGGTAGTTCGATAAGACTGCCGTTCGAATACAGTAGTACGGTACAGTACGGTACTCGTACCATACTCGTACTATTCGTACTGTATTCGTGGTGCGGAATGTTTTGGGAGAGAACGGTATGAGAGAACGACCGCGTCAAAAGATAGGTATTGCAGTAAACAACAGCCAGCGTCCGTTCCTCTCCCCTAACAAGGCTTTGGCTGTATCTCTCCCACGATAAACAAACATCAATACTAGCTAGAACGGCGATCCAAGCAGCACGTTACAGTAGAAGCTTGATGATTACTCTTTACGATAAGACGCAACACAATTCAACCCTCCGAGGAGCACAGAACAGAGTCGTGCGGTAGAATTGAACACCAGCACCGCACTTTTCACCATGGCACCGTCGCGGCGCCGGGGGGCCTCCGGGAAGACGTCGGCCACTGTGGCACGGTCGGCGGCTATCCTGGCGACGGAGAAACGGCGTCGGGAAGAACTAGAGCAGCAAAGCGCATGCGATAGGAAGGGCAACAAGGACAACAACAATACCAGCAACAGCAAAAATAAACACGACACGACCTCAACTGCGAAGGGTGTCCACGTCGGAGATGATTACGATGCATACATAGATACAAATAACAGCTATCACGATTCAACAGAGAACAACTACGACAACAATTACGATATGAATCGCGATGAGACAATAGCAGAGGTGGAGAAGCAACGAAAAAAGTTTTCACTCTTTCAACCCTTCGCGTCTCGCGGACAACCTTACTGCAAGGTAGTCCCCGAAGATCAGCAACATTGCACCAAAACCTATCCAAACAACATTCACCAGCGGTCGAGCAAGTCGGGGTGCAAGCGGAAAGATGACTACTATTATTCCGAAGAGGAGGACGGCAACAGTGACAACGATCATGATGCAGGTGACGAGGGCTGTTTGCATTGCCATCGGAAAGTCAAGAGCATGCCCCGGATTCGTGTCATTGACGACGACGAGAACGGCGACCACGATTCCGACGAGGGGCACGGGGGGGTTAACATCCAGGTACGGTGCGACGATTGCAGGGGATACATTTGCAACGGTTGCCACTGGTGCCACGAATTCCAGGCGAACCACGAGATAAGGGTTTGCGATCGATGCGACGCCTTCTATTGCCGCAGGTGCGACGAAATGGATCAGTGCGACGATTGCGGAGAGGTAGTCTGTGGGTCTTGCTCTACTCTGTTGAGTTGCAAGTTTTGCGGAGGTGGATTGTGCGAAGAATGTGCGACGGCTTGTGGACGGTGAGTAGAAGAACAAGAACGAGATGGCTTCCGTGTTGCCGATGGCATTTTTGTTGTTGCTGCTGTTGGTTTTGTTGGTTTGGACGGAACGGGACTCGACTCGTCTCGATTCGATTCTCCTTTACTTGTGTTTAGCATTTGGCCACGCTCTTGTGGTTTTGTTCGCGTCACAGCAATTCCCGAGAATGGTCGCTTCCCAACCTCGTTCTCTCACGCCGGTGTTTTTCTAATCATTCGTATCGCGATGTCTCGTAACTTAAACGATATGAACCGAACCCAATAGATGTGGAATCGTCTTGTGCAGTCGCGACGCCAAGTTCGCTGTAGATTGCGACACTTGCCGACTCTCCTATTGCTTGGTGTGTTTGGCGAGCGGTAGCAAAGATCCTTGCGTGAGGTGCGGGCATCGGCCTTCGAAACGAATGGAGCAATTGGTTCATTTGCGACTCAAGAGTATTTACAAGGCGTTCAAAAGCAGCAGCGGAGGCAGCAACGCTGTTGGTGGTTCCGGCAATAGTGGTGATGGAAATAACATCAATAATTGCAACATAGCAAATGGAGCGGAAGGAGGTGGGAACATCAAAAGCAATACCGGTCACGGGAATAGCACCGCGAGCAACGACGGTAGCCACGGTGGACGACCGCGACGCAACAAACCAACTACGCTTCAAGACATGGTTGGAGATCACGACGACGAAGACGACGTCGACGATGTCGTGGATCCAGAAATGTCTATGATGATGGGGGCTGCTGCGGGGGTCCTGCCCCACAAATTCTGTCACGATTTGGAACAGAATTATTTGGCCGAGCAGAAAAAAGCAGATGCCGCCGCGGAGGCCTTGTTGGCAGAACTCGAGGAGGAAGAAACGGCCATAGCGCAAAAGAAGTCGAAAAAGAAAAAGAAGAAAGAAAGAAAGAATGCTAGCAAACAAAACCAACAATCATCTCAGAAAAATACGGATGCCGATGGTAGCAAGAAGCTCGACGCCGATAACACATCGAAGATGAAACCATCTCAATCTCAGCATGAGATGGCATCGGCAGATGCGGGAGGAAACGGCGAAGTAGACGAGGACCTCTCATCGGAAGACGTTGACTCCACAGGCCGAGCCATCAATGGCAATGACGAAGGAAAAAATCAATCTGAAAACCTTGAGGATACCAAAATGGATCCTGTCGAGAAAGAATTAGTCGAATGCGTAAATAACATCGATCTTGAAGGCATTGAAAATATTCTTTTTCGTCTGAAGGGGGTTCCCGGAAGAGCTGCCTTACGGAAGAATGCGAAGAAAGCTTTAAAACGATTAAAGCTAGAACTAAACCCGCCTCCGCTTACACCAGCGCATCCCAAAATGGAGGTGACAAGGAAGACTGAGAAGAAACCAACGGGATCGACAACTCGACTGTCCTCCGCGATAAACAAGCTTTCGACAATTGCAGCGGATCCCAAGTCGTTATCAAAAAAAAGTACTGCCAAGTCTTCTGGAGGTCACGAAAAGTCGAGCCATAACAACAGCAAGTCCTCTCATTCAAAGTCATCGCTTCATAAAAACAATGCTAGTACTCGTTGTGAAGCTGTTGTAGAAATAGTCTCCAGGTTGGTGGGATGGATGATCGGGAAGAATGGTCAACGCATACGAGATCTAATGGAAGAGAGTGGGGCAAAAATCTGGATCGATCAAGAGAAATTCAAGGGCCAAGAAACAAGAAATGTATACATAAGTGGAGACCGCAAGTCAGTTGATCGTGCTGTTTCTCTCGTCAATAACGTAATCACCAACGCTCCACCACCACAGGGCTCTACCAATACCGCAGCAGCAGCTGCTATAACTTCCACGGCCAGCATTGCATTGGCGACGGAAAGACCTGAGGGTGCAATGAAATTGTCTACTACTACTGTAGAAGTCAAATCAGCATGGGTTAAAACTTCTGGGAAGAGTGCCGGTAACACGATACTAGGAACAGTGCCAAAACMACCTGCATTGATCACATCATCTGCCCCAGTGGTTGGTAACGTATTGAAGGAGCATGCGCAAGCCCAAAAATCATCTGAAAATGTGACCATCAAGGAACCACTCGGAAAGCGAACAAACTCAGAAAATCTTGTTTCCGATTATGCAAACCCAGCAATTAGTGCGCCGCTTGCATCTAAGTCCTCTGAAGTGGTAACAGAAATTGTAACCTGTGAAGCTAGGTTCGTACCCCTCTTGATCGGAAAGCGCGGTTGGACGATCAAACAAATTCAGGACGATAGTGGAGCTCGCGTCGACATAGATCAAAGTGTGACACCACGCCAGGTTAGGATTTCGGGTAGCAAAGCGGATGTCGACAAGGCGGTTACAATGGTTCGAGACGTCTTAAGTTATCCCCATGCTCAGCCACAGTCCTCTATAATGGAAGACGGTAGCCTTGTCCACCCTGGAATTTCAACAGGCATTCAGCAGTCTGAAACTAGTATTCCGATCTCAACTCCCACCAAACAGAGCCTCCTCGCTGCCTCTGCCGTATTGGAACACAATGTCACAAGGAATACAATACCGAGGCAAGATGAAACCAGCGACCGGATACACTCACCGCCTCCGATGGTAGGTGATGCAAAGAGTGCAATATCTGCATCTTCTTCACTCTCGTCAACGCCCGAACCGTCCATGGCTTCGTCGTCAAAGGGATTCATCGCATCGCGCTTACAAAATGGCTCATTGCTGCATCCACCAATGGAACAATATGGCATGGGAATCAATCCATCACAAATATCTCAAAGTCCATTTTTGCATCCCGTGGGGGGCATTAGCGATGCGCTGGGTGGAGGGGGTTTGTGGCAATCAACATCATTGGGAACACGACCAACAGGAGTATCTCCTCCTCCACCTCTGTACACGGAAAGCCCGGGACAGATTGGAATGCAGGGGGATGGACAAATGATTATTCCACGGGGCCACATTGCTCATCCTCTCATTCACCAGCAACTCCAACAGCAAAACCAACACATTCCGATAAACACTGGTATGAGTCAAGAGCAGCAACAAAACAGAGGATATCCAACCCATCAGCTCCACCCTTTGTCTCAAACGTTTGGTCACGCAGGACAGGTATCACATGGTATGAACTTATCAGTCAACGGAAATGGGAGTCCCATGGAACGTGTTTCTCAATTAACCAATCAAAATATTGGAAACAACGATCCAACTCCTGGTGTCCATTCTACGTTGGGAGGTAGTGCACCGTACAATATGTACAGAAATGAGGGAGTGCCTAGTGCACGAGTGATTGCCACGACGCCGTTGAGAAATTTGATGCACCACAATGGCGGTGGTGGTATGTCTCCAGTATCATCTCCAGTGAGAGAGTCTGGTTACAGACAGGGTAGCAGTGGTCTATGGGATGCATCAAATCCAAATTATTCATCTTCTGACTTACCACTTCAAACCTCTGCGTTGCAGCCACGCTCCTCCTCTGAATTTACTGGAGTTTCGATGGGGTTCTCCACTGGGCAACAGCACACGAATAAAGATATTGCTGTGAGTAATTCTCTTGGTTATGCTACGTCCGACGCAATGCCCTCGCAACACAGTCTTCCAAACACGAATCCAATACCGATAGTACCAAACACTACGACGCCCTTTTCCTCAGTCTCCCATGTGCGAAGGACTGATGATTCGCTAATGTTTGATAATTTGTTCGGACGTACGAACAGTAGCGCTCAAACATCACACGCTGACGCTACCAATAGCCTACTTACTGGTTTCAACGGCTTGTCTTTGTCTACTGGAGGAGATGGAGCAAAATCGTCAGGGCTTTGGGGCTCCTCTGACTTCACAGAGAGTTGGAATGAGAAGAAAGGGAGCGACGTTTACGATTCGGACTCTTCTGCTCCGAACGTTTCATCCCTTGGTAACATATTTTCGGACAAAAGGCCCAATCTTTCCCGTCCAGAAGAGTCTCGCTTTAACTGGGATTCGACGTATCCCAATCGTTGATTCTCATCTGCGGATAGAATTAATGTTTGGCTACCGACGAGGAAGAAGAATTCACGGCGACTTTTGTTGAGTTGGTTTATTTACCTGCCAAACAGGTACACAATAACATTGAAGCAATCACTGCGCGTTTGCTCATAAAAATAACTCTTTGGTAGATTTTTCTTTGCTCATACTGCACATGTGGACAACAGCATTTATCAACTAAATGTAATTTTTCTTCCCATCAAGTAACCGTGCGGTATAGTATCACTATTTCTTACTGGTGGCTTGAGGGTTGAGCCTGTGGCCGCTGTCTCGAATCGATGTCTCGAATCAAAGCAAATAGATTGTTCTTTTCCTAATGGAAAAATATTTAAGTACGCACAAACCACGGTACGATAGTACCATGGTTTTAGAACAGGATTAAACTACTGCTGACATAGTATATTACTATATGTTAGGTGTCATACACCCAGCTGAACAGAAAAAATAATTATAATTTACCTGTAGATTGTGACTCAAAATATTTTTTGGTAAAAATGAGATGCTTGTGCAAGTTAAAACCATAGTACTACACTGCCTCAAAAATGTTACACAAAAGAAACTCAATCACTGTTAGTACTATGCACTTCAAAACAATTCAATCCAGTAACACTGGTTAGAATGAAAAACTTTCATTTAGAGTGATTGACTTCAATTTGAAGTGAAGAAGAGCTTGAAATGTCCTCGTAAAAATTTTACCAGTACTTCCTTTTGTCCCATAATAGCATCATGCCCGCCTATTTAAGTTTTTGTTAGGAATGACTGTGTAAAATGTGTTGGATTAGTACCATATACTAAAAATGTTGATGCTTGGGATTAAAAATTATTCTTGCACATGAAATTAGACAGTTATTTACATGGCAAACAATATATTGACAATGGTACGGTGCACCTATTTTGAACAAGAATGACCATTACAGGAACACCCTCTACCAGTATAGTAAGAATATCAACATAAAGCTCCAAGCCTTAGCTTGCTATAGCTACAACTTGTGCGCTTGAATGACCAGTAGAACCCAACTGAAACTATCTATTATCATATTGAAATGAAACAAAGAGGCTTGTTTGTAGTAGGCTTATTCACTTATTACCTGTGGTACGACACAAAAAGAAGGCATAAAGCATTCAAACAGTATTAATGCAGATCAGTACAATAAAAAAAGAATCATTCAAACCACCCTTATATTGAGCTTATTCCAACAGTAGATATATATACTGGACACTTAATATGGGACAGAGGAAGTACTACATTCTACAAGGCAATCTTTTTAAAAAATGCTTGAAGAATGACAATCTGAAATAAAACTACTACAGTATTATGCTAGAGTGAGATATCCAGTCATCATACACCAGCAGTCTATCCCAAATTTTTTTTGTTAGAACATAGTGTGCCCTGTATGAGTAGCTAGAAGTTCTTAACTTTTGAGTCAAAGTTGGTAGCTTCAATAAAATCTTTATTGTTCTAGCCAGTAATTTTAGTACTAGTACTAGTGTATCATTCAATTGTTATGAAAAGTGTGGTGGTATGAAACTTCTTCCACATTTTCAATTCAGTAGTTCTTGCTTTCAATTTCTACTATAATCTTTTTTTTACAAAATTGCACCAAACTGACCAGTAATTGACACTGGTGATGCCTGCCTGTGTGTAGCTACTAGTACTACTTAGTGCCAGCAGTGCTGTATAGAATCCCCCAAATCCATAGTAGGTTGGGACTTTGACCAAACCCAAGATCTGGTGCATGGTGGATGGTGATATGGAGTATAATAAAACTTAACTTAACTTTAGTACTACTAGTAGTACTAGCTGCTGCTGTTTTGTTGGTATTTTGGGGTTAGTTTGCTGCTACTAGATTACCCATTGAACTAGTACTTCCTTGGTTCATGAATGAATGTCCAGTTTGCAACTAGTAGTCTGGTGAAATAAGCTCAATATTAGGGAAATTTGAATGGTTCTTTTTTATTGTATTGATATTTTTAAATACTACTATTTAGATGTATTGTGCCTTTCATTGTCATACCACCACTTAAAAAGTTACAGGCCTTTAAAATGGGTTTTTGGGGCATGTAAATGTGATTTTACCATCACCAGTTGCCTTCCAATAGCTACTGCTTGCACATGATAGCTAAATGTGACAAATTTCTTAGGCTTCAATTCTCATCAATATGGAGAACTTTCCTGTATTGGTCATATTCTTGTTTAAAATAGGTGCACCGCACATCATTCTCAAAATTGTGTTTGCAGTGTTGCTACTAGCATGTGTGATTTTCATGTGTAAAAATATTTTTATTCGTGCAGATGCTTATTCTAGTCTCTAGTACTGATTCTTTGCATTATACAGTGAATCTTAAATTCAACCATCAAAACCAGGAATCATTGTTTTTCAGATTTTCACAAAACCGGCAATCATTGCTTCCTGCTGTTGTTGCAACAAGGACTGCCAAGTAATGGCTTGCTGATGGTGCTTCATGTTGGACATCTCAAACATGGACAAAAAACCCTTGTTGCTTCTATTGCTGCTGTTGACTGGCAAGGAGTACTTTGAGGAACAGACTCAAGAATGAGTCCTTCTTGTGTCAATACTACTGCCTTGTGGCAAGAAGTTGGTGTTGCTTGGATTGATGCTAGAGTTGGGGATGCTTGAGTCAATGCTTGAGTTGGTGCACTTACTTCTTGAGTAAGTCAAGCAAGGTGGTGAGGAGTAAGCTGAGTCAGCCTTGGTGGCCTTGTTTGAGTACTAAGTTGAAATTGGTGTGAACACTGTTGAAGAGGCGAAGGAGTATTGTTTTTGAAAGTGGTGTTATCCTCACTATCATTGTATCCTTGTTCCAAACAAAATTCCTCCTCTCCATCTCTAATGGTGGCCCTGACACAAAATTAATTCTTGATCTGCTTGGAAAATCTGACTCCAGGGTGCATGATTGGATTCCCACCAGTAGTAGGAATTGGTTTCCTGTGGAACAAGGAGTACTTCCTAGAGATGGAATCCTTGTCTCTCCTTGGACCATCAGATAATCTTGCAGCACGGTATCAAACAACCTGATCCTTCTCAAATACCAAAAATTCTAACTAGTACTACTAGTACTAAAGTTGCAGTTAATTTTGAAGCCCAGTATTTAGTACTGGATCCTACATAGATCTACTAGTTTTTGGCCACTTTATCAAACACAAACAGGGTAATAGTAGGACATTTAGAACTGCTCTGGTATGGCCTAAGAGCAGCTGTTCTTAGGGAAGAAGCTTCATACTAAAAGTGTTGGGAACAATGCCCTTTGTCATTTTTACGTAATGATAGGCCTGGGGGAGCCAATAGCACATTAACAATCATTTTTGCCAAATTTTGCTGTTTTCAGAGACCGGCTGTGTTTCAAAATAGGCCAGAACTCTATCGAAAAACAACTCTAGACCACCAGACTAAGCACCAAGTCCAAGTTGATATAATTATCACCATGAGATCCAGGTCATTGGGAAGCCAAAGGATGCTCTAGAGGTTTAGAACTGGGACGTTGCGAAATGACTCATTACCAGTTACTCTAAGCTACGGGGCCTACGATTAGTCTACTGCAGCCAAATTCCACGTGGCAACAGGAAAAAATGCTTCCGT